GAGTCCCAGGTGTCCCGGAAACGTTAGCTACAAAATACGATACTTTACAGATAACTAGTAGAGATGTGATATGAGTTTACTCCTGTTGGACGCAAGACTAGCTGCTGAGTTCTGAACTCTCTGTTGAATTCCTTTTACTGAATATAAAAGGCCTTACATTCATAACTAGTTAAGAGTCAATGTCAGTAAGAATCGGGGATAATCCCAAAATCACGGACACAGCTCAAAATTCGTTTTCGCTGATACTTTTTACATTGATAGAGTATTGTATCGTAGTTAACAAAATAGGGTTAGTTTTGTCTAATTTTTGCGTTCATAAGGGGAATGAAATAAAATCGGTTGGGTCCGTTTTGCACCAAAATGACCTCTTTGATGAACCGAAATTTTACTATATTCGTGACTCTTTCAAGTTTGCGGGGTAAAGCCTATAAATGATTTCTTACTATGAATAAATAGCTTGTCCCTTGGTCAATTAAATATTGTCTACAATGACTGATAATTTATTTTATATGACTCGTGGAGAGCTTTTCGTTGAAGGCACTTCGTTGCCTTTTCTGGATCGCTCTAAAGTGACATAAAAGACTTGCCTAAAAATCCGGTCGGTACGCCAAAATATATCCTCAGACTAAGCTTTCTCTACAGTTTAAGGATAGATGTTTTATGTTTCATTTTCATTTCTTTGGGATCTTTTTCAGTTTTTCGATACGACTGCCCCGAAGATTGCTAATTTGCAAGATTTTTCGATGACCGCCATATTGAAACTGCGAGAAAGTACCGTACAAAAATCGTACTACTTTTGGATAAAATTGAGTCTAAAATTATAAGTGCAAGTGAGATTTAGCTTGGTATATCACTAAGTCGCCGCCCTTACGTTATTTTTAAAGTTAACGGCAGTTTGGCAGTGGCTTATAGGATTGAGACTCCATGCATGATATCGTGACATTGATTTCCTACACGTCACGCACCGACCTTTGACACCGTTATTAGACTTCACATAACGTCGAATAACGTATGAGCGATTTCCGCTTTGAAATCCTCCGCTATATATTCCGTTTCCTTTAGAGGAAAGGACTTCACGAACTCTGTTTTTTTGGACCGCACGAAGTCATTATGCAGATACAGAACACCTGTGTAAATAGTACATCGCGACTTCGCGGTTGTCAACACGGCATTTAAACTGAAACAATAAAAAATCTATGGCTAAAGATCCCTTCAAAACTGAAAAAACTTTGATTTGGACTGGCGTAAAGTCCCTTAAAATGAAAATTGGGATTGAGACTGGCATAAACAAGATGCATCAAAAATATAGTTACGTTTGCAGCACTTGATAATTAAATTACTTTGGCGTATTTTCAACCAGTATTGTGTTATCATTGTTTCAGTCTACAAGTCTCTCTCCGAAAAACTAATTTTCACTGTAAATTTCTCAAGGAAGTAAAATAGCGCCGAGTTAATCGTTAAACGTAAACGTTGACTTACAATATTGAGCGATGGCGTGTACCTTCTCACTTTTGGTCGGTGGAGAATGCGGGGCTGATCCAAAGTCAAAGACTGCGTCGCGTAAAATCGTACCCTTGGTATCATGCTCAAAGAATATATCGAGCCACAAAAAACAGCTTCAATTCAGTGGCTGCGAAACGGAAATTGAGCTTATTCTAGCCCGCAGTGGTTGTTTCCAAACGCCAGAAAATATCCACGACATGACTATCTGTCCGCTGCACCGCGTTAGTTTGGGTATTGGATGGCGAAGGTCTAAGCGGGTATGCAGTGTTCCAGGCAAACTCTCTGGACACAGTGAAGAATCCAAGAAAAATGCCGAGCGGGGATGTAGCTTGGCTCAGTCGAAGTACATATTGGAAGCCACTGGTGAATTCATTCCAGTTGGTTCAGGTAAATATAATCCTTCTTCTTTTGTAATACTTGCGGGAGTAAAACATTTGGTTATAACGTATGACGTCATATAACACATCAAACATATCTCTGCCGTCGTTAAAATGGTGAGTCAGTTCAGTTAGCTGGGCTGGCCCGTTTTATTGGAATGGCTCGGGTAATACCTTGGTTCCCTTTAAAATTTCCGTTTTGTTAATATATGAAGCCGGACTGACCCACTTGCAGAAATCTCTCCTCAGGCAACCAGTATCTCGCCAGCCTGGTCTCTCATATAAACATAGCAAAAATTTTATAAGGACACAGGGTATAAGCCGAGCCAGCCGGATAAAGCAGGCAAGCTGAGCTAATCGGGCTGGCTCACTTCACATAAACAGGCCTTTAACCCTATGTTCACACTATGCAAGATATCTTTGTTCCGCCAAGAAAACCAAACACGGGATAGGGCTTTTGTTCACACTCAAGAACTGTGATTTCGGCGCCATTTCTGGAAAGGAGCCAAGCTGCGCCTTACCGATTTCGAAGGGTAGCCTCGCATATAGTCTACGTAGCCGGCGGTTTTTTGATGTGTGTTTTTTTTCTTCTTTTGTGGTTCGCAAAGTAAGAATTACAGCCGAGCGATACGCTGAACCAAGGTCGAAAAAGAAAACGATGAGAGAGGGGCGTGTGTAAAAATGATAAATGGCATAGCAAGAAATCAGAAATGCAAGTGCGGGTGAGAAAATATAAAAAGAGTGGGTTAACATTTTTGAATTTTTTTATATTTTTTTAGCGATTTGTACTAAGTGTCGAAAGAACCTGACGAAACAAACACATACCCCTGAAAGCAGCCTGCCACAATCAGATTTTGACGAACTTACAGAGCATCTAGGTGAGCTTACTCTGGTAAGTATGACATTCTATGATTTACGTCTACAAACTACAAAGATCTTTCCTTGTAATATTAGAAACCGTACGCAGCTAGTTTGAATCCAATTTTGAGTACGTTCAAACTGTTTTATGTTTGTACTGACAACAACGAAACTGGAAGAAGTGTTTTGGGGTCTTACTTCAGACTTTTTAATTTTTTTTTTTTAATTTTGTGAAATTTTAGGCAGAAACTGCAGCAGCCCAAGTAATTCATGTTGATGAAAGAAGAGAGAGTATATTCATCCCAGAATCGGATTTGGAAGGTTCTGATTTTGAGAACACGCCGCACAGAAGCCAAGTAGACACGGCAAAAGAGCCTTTAAAAAAGTTAAACGATTTTTTAGCCTCTCGTGATGTTAGCCCTGTTCGACATAAGTTGTCCGTTCCATGGGAAAGTGCTAACGAGCGCACAAAGAGAAGGTACAGCCGTAAAGCAAAAAAAAGTGTTCAAGAGGTTCTTGAAGTAATTGCTCCAGGACAAAGTGATAAATTATTGACCACATTAGGTGAAAGCTTACAATCTGAGAGAACACAAGCCGAAGAAGAAATTTTACAAGCCTTAGCAGAAAGCTATTTAAACGCAACTCACTGGAGCACGAGAAGACAAATTTTGTCCATCTTGGCAGATAAACTATCGCTTAAGGAACTGACGCATTACATTCCCGGGGTGACGCCTTACAGATTTAACATCGCGCGGCATCATAGACTGTTACATGGTAGAGGTGCGATCGTACCTACTGATATCACTAGGCGTATGAAGGTTGATTTCGCCAAAGTTGATCATTTTCTCGACTTTATTACAAGTTGTACAAGACTTTATTACATATTGTACAAGACATGCCATTTGGAGAAAAGATGCTGAAACTTTCAACGGGGGAGGTGATTAAAACACCTAATGTCGTACGGATGCTAATACCAGAACGGATAACACAACAGTATTTTCAGTTTTGTAACGAGACCAATTTCACTCCGATGAGCAAGCGCACACAACTCCGAGTACTAGACGTTTGCTCTGCGTCAGTGCGCACCTCTCTGCAGGGCTTGGATAACTTCTCTGCACAAGGCAGTAAGGCAATAGAAGATCTTAGCGAGATAGTAGACAAGATAGCAGATCAAGCAAAGTCACAAGCCTGGGCCAAGGAAATGAAACAAACACTTCGGTCTGCCAAACAATATCTGCGGTCTGATTACAAGTTAAGGCTATCTTAATATTTGGTTATTCTTTTAGTAGATTATTAACTTTGTACTTTGGCTGGATTGATGCTAAATTTAAGCGAATTGGTCATAAACATGAAAGTCAACTTTCTCTGGCTGCATTGTACTAACTAGTATTGAGGCTAAACCTCGAAACATTGATTAAGCGGAAGCTATCTTCAATTTGCGCCCTTTAAGCGGTTCGGACAAGCTTTAATAAGTTTCAAACTTCTTTTACTACTTTTAAAAGATTTTACCCTAAAGCAGCTGATATTAATAACGAAAAATCATAGTAAAAATTATGATGATAGTGATAACTATGATGATGATGACGATAATAATCTTTCACATTTTAGGTGCACGATACAATGGAATCAGAAGTTGCAGATCACTGTTTAACGTTTTCCCTCAGTGATCCTAAAAATAGTTGTTTTCAAGGAAAGTGTAACCATAACCACGATGAGGTCTGCTACGAATGCAATAAATTAACCGGGGTGCTGTCTACCATAAAAGAAGCGTGCGCAGAACTTCAGTCTGAAGAAGAAAGAGATGACAGTATCTGTTTAGTGGCTCAAGCAGAAAAGGACATTTTGGCATGGAAAGCTCGCCAACTCCGAACAGTTAACCAGGATCAAGCAAAACATGACGTGTTAGATGTCATATGTCGGAGTTCAGCATTATTAGTTATGGACTGGGCGATGAAATTCTTACCCCGAAAGTTTCGCGAATCACAGTGTGACTGGTTCGCCAAACGTGGTATTCCATGGCACATCACAGTGGCTTTTACAAGATCAGAAGCAAATGCCCCGCTTGAGAAGCTCACTTTTGTCCACCTGTTTCAGAGTTGCCCTCAGGATAGCGTTGCAGTAACCGCCATTTTACAAGATGTTATCGAGATGTTAAAGGAGCGTCGGCCACAACTGCAAAAAGTGTATTGCAAACAGGACAACGCAGGATGTTATCATTGTGGGTCAACAATTGTAGGAAGCAGGTTGAACAGTCTTTCTGATGTCAAGGTGGAGAGGTTCGACTTTTCAGATCCACAAGGGGGCAAGGGAGAAGCCGACCGCCAGGCCGCAACAATTAAAGGACATATCAATGTGTACTTAAACGAGGGGCACGATGTGAACAACGCTGCACAGATGAAAGAAGCCATTGAATCAAATGGCGGTATTCCTGGCGTTATTGTGAAGTATGTGAAGCCTCCCGAACTATCTGCTGGCAAAAACGTGATCAAATGGGACGGAATTAGTACGCTTAATAACTTCCACTTTTGTCCAAATGGTATCACAACATGGAAGGCTTATAACATCGGGCCCGGAAAGCTGGTAACATGGAAGGACATTCAAACCGATGGTATCTTTCCTGCTACACTTGAAGTTTTGGAGCCTCCTGATACCCGCTCTCAGCAGTCAAGCTTTAGAAAAATCAATCCTAGAAAGGAAGTGCAGCAAAAATCTTTGTCCGAACAACGGCTGAGTAGTCCTGACCAGCAAGAGACAGCAGGACAAGACATGGATGTATAAAAAGAGAAAGAGGAAGTAAGCGGCCTTTTTACCTGTTCAGAAGATGGGTGTATTCAGACATTCCAGCGGTCCTCAAGTTTGCAAGCACATTTAGACGAAGGAAAGCACAAGCGCGCGCTAGAAAAAGAAACACTGTTTGACAAAGCCAGAAAAGGATACGCTGCGAGAATAACTGGAGAGCAAACGAAAGTTCCAACTTTTGGTTTCTACACGACATCAAAAATCTCAGTTGATAAACTACATTCCACACTTGAGATGGGATGGGCTCTTAAAACAACAAGGAGTAGAACCCAGTTTACAGAAGAACAAAGAAAGTTCCTCGCAGAACAGTTTCTCATCGGGGAGGAGTGTGGTAAAAAGGCAGATCCACAACAGGTATCGCAAGAAATGCGAAGAGTGAGGGACGAAAAGGCTGCTCGTATTTTCAGTGGAAAGGATATTCTTTCGCCACAGCAGGTGGCAGGATTCTTCTCAAGACTGGCAGCAAGGATTCGAAAAACGTCAGCAACATCGAGCGAAGAAAGTGGAAGTGAAGACGAAGAGTAGAGTGCAGTCGAGGCAGAGGCCTTACATTCGCACCTAAAGGAAGTTGTCAGAGAAGAAATTGCTTTACGTCACCCCATTGTCGCCCTTTCGCGTAACATTTGCAGTTTGGTTCATACAAAGAAATCATCTACCTTAACAGTTGCAGTGCTAAGGGACATTTGTGAAGATATTGGCTTAAACGTGGATGATATCACGGAAAAACGAAAAAAGCCACTCATAAGTCGTATTACGCAGGTCGTTAAGGAGTGCTCTTGTGCTCGAGTGTAATCGACTAGAACAATTGAGTAAAGAAATTGTAAGCTTGTATCCTGTTATAACACCAACCTCGTTCCCAGGGTTCTCTCCTACCGGGTAGGAGAGAACCCTGGGAACGAGGTTGTTATAATACGTGATTATAACTTACGTTTTCAGGGACCACGGGTCAGGCAAAATGCAATGCCCTAATGCATCAATCAATTCCAGCTGCACCTAGTCTCCCCCCCACCTGCGGGCCACTGTGGGATATTTTCCCCCTTGTCGGTCCCGGGGGTAGGGCATTAGCAAATTTTGCCTTGCCCGGAGGTCAGCCCGCGGGGACTGTACGCAGCTGCAATTGATGCATAAGTTCACAGCTCAGATAGAGAGACTGTACTTTTAATGCCCACTCGTTTAACCGGAATTTCCTTGCTTCTGAACAATGAACAACAAGAACAAATACAAGATGTGGCTAAGAATTGCGAACCAATTTTGTTTTTCAGCAGAGGCTTTGTACTTATTAGCAGATTGCGTGGTTTTTGACCAGCCAAAAAAAACTGATAGCAGCTCTGGTGACGAAAAAGAAGTTAGTTACCCTAACTTTTTCTTTTAACGGAGGATTGATATGTGAAAACCAGTAGATTTTCAAAGGCATGCATTTTCTCCGTCATTTCTAAAAAAATGATGGTATTAGCTTCGGTTTGATATTTCTAGATATATGTGTGATTATAGTTAAAGTTGAGATCATTTAATTTACCCACATAAATTTAATTTAAAAATTGAAGCCTCTGATTTAGACCGTTTTAGTGAAGGATTCACTTTGTTAAGTCAGGAAAGTTTCTTAAAATGCCGAAAAGGAGTTTGAGGAGAATTTCATTTCCGGTTCATTTGTCACACATATTGCGTGACAAATGGAATATTGTTATACGAGATGCGGGATGGAGAGTTAAAAGTGCCCATGGAATGAGACTTATCAAAACTAAAATTGAAACGGATGAGTATTGAAAGCTCAAGCGAAGGGTACACAAGTGAGACTCAGTGAAGCGCGTCAAAGTCCAAACGTTGCCCGAGTCACAGCACGGAGTCACTTTTAGTCTTTGCAGACTACGATTGTAGACAGTAATCGCCGAAGTATGGTGCGTTTCTTGCTGCTTTTTCTTGACACTGGACTTGATTACAGGTAAATTTGGTTGATCTTAAAGCTTATGGGAGATTCTTTAGTCAAAAGAAGTGCAAAAATATGTACCGTTCGATGCCGTAGCGGTGACTTCCGTTTCGCCTGTTTCGGTAATGTAAGACATTCCAAGATGGCGGAAGGCGGAATTGTGCTCACTTTAAGAAGTATTTGTCAAAAAAGTACGAAAGATCCCAAACATATAAGCTTGTAGAAAGTTAAAACTATCCTTTTAAAGAATACCAAAAGGTTTTCTGGTGTGATTCGTTGCGTACCGCGGGCATTTCTGACATGTTGTTTTGACCAGCCATTGCACCAAATTCGAGAAGGATGTTGGTGTGGTTCTTTAAAAAATCATATATTTTTTGTGAGCAGCGTTAGCGAGCTGTTTTGGGAATCAGTGGACTGAAATAGCTTTAGATTAACTGGATATCCGTGAAGACATCTTAAAACAATCGACTAAATGACTCAATAATTTCGTGAAAGTTGGCAATTTTCAAGGTTATTACGTCGAAAAATACCGTTTACAGTTAAAATCAAATTTCTTTGAAACGAAACAATATTTAGCCAAATAAACCTTGATTTCATATGTATAGTACCTGGGCCTACCAGTGTACAAAGTATAGGCGAAATCAAATTTTGAGCTCTGTCCGCCCGATCTTTGATCCTTACTGACATCAACTCCTAAAAGTTACAATAAAGACGTCAACTGACAAAAAGTAAGCCTAAACGTTGCCAACCAATGTATTGAACCCTATTCCCTGTCAATGCTGCCTTGTGCCCAAGCGCATTTTGGGATTTTGTTCGGTAGTCAGGGCGCACGCAACTGCGTTTTTGACGTTTTCCCATAATCCTTGCGCCGCGACAACCGTCAAAAATCCCAAGAGGCGCCTGGTCACGTGAAGCAGCTATTGATCCCAGATGGTTACCTAACCGAACTATTTGTCCTTCCCTAGTCAAAACTCGCACGTGCACTGATTCATTTTAATTCCTTATTTTTATTGAACTAAAATCATCGCAGAAAAAACCAAGCCGGTTACAAAGCTGCTGAGTAGTACTTTTATACTTTTTTGTAGACCAGCAATCGACAGGTTTTATAGCCACGCCCACGAGGCGGTTTGTCGCCATAGTAATCAGCCTCCTTGTTTGTGTGCAGTGTCCATTTTCCTTCTTCTTCCAGACTTTCACATTTCGCCTTGTAACCGTCTTCCTCTCTTTCAAACACTGGACAGGTAAAGCACATGATACCACCTGTAACGAACAGAAAAAAGACAATTCAATTAAAATTTAAGGAATAAACAAGACAACTTAAATCCGGGGCACACATACGCTAACCCAAACCCAAGGCCTGGCCAGTGCCTCACGCATGCGCACCGCCATATCAGCTGGGAAGTGGCAGCTATGGACAGCTGTTTCGCCCTTTTGGGGCTTATAAGCATGGCGTAGCCGTCGACAGCTCCCACATGTGTTGTGTCGAGTTGGCGCTTAGAAGAGTGCTTTGCACTCGCCTCAGTAGTAAAGGGCTTCTGCAGACGACTTTATCCGTACAGATGTCAGATGGCTATGCTATGCTGATGAGCTCCAACAAGGGCGAAACAGCTGTCCATGGCTATATGGTCGGGTCTCAACCTGTAACCGCAAAAATAGGACTTTTAATTTCTGGATTGGTTAACAACCAGACCTCATTCACACTCTTAAGATTTGTTCGCAGATGATTTCTTCTTATTAAGAGCATCTTGCTCAAAACTCTTAGACTGCAAAACAGTCGGTTTTTTTCTCAAAATTGCTTTGGCGTAGCGTAAGAACAGCCTTAGAGCCACCCGAGCCAAACTCAGAGGTACATTGATCTCAGCCGCCATTTTGAAAAGCCAAGGAAAAGACTTAGAGAGGTGTGCTTCGCACACTACGCGAGCCGCGCGAGCTTCACACGCCCACGCCCACGGGCGTCCAGTCTTGCTCTGTTTTCAGCCTTGCTCCAGATCTTTTGTTTGACTGTTCGCGCGTACGTGAATACGCCAAGATACGGATTGTTTTGCAGCTTAAAAACTCTCAATTCAAATTATGGCTGAGAATGTGGTGAGATCTTGTGAGAGCGCTTGTAATGTTCATGGTTTGACCTTGTGGAGAAGACCTCAAAGAGGCCTACTCATGAAGAATCAAAAGCCAGGGGCACCCAACGAGAATTTAGTTCAAACCCACTTCGACATAGCATTGTTAACCGTATTTAAGTATTTAAACGGCAGATATAGGCATATTTTTTTCCCCTAAAAACTTTTCATCTGTTCGGATTTCCTAGCTGAAAGTCTAGTGATCCGAAAATTATAGGGATCAAAACTTACCTTTTCGAAAGTTTCAGCTAGAAAAAAGGCTCCCGAAAATTCTAAGGTGACTTTTTACGCTAAAACTCTGTTAAAAATGGGCAATTATACCATTTTTTAGATGTTCGAAAATTCTTTGAGTGGCAGGCAAACAAGAAATTTACAACAAATGTTTCGAAAATTCTAGATCTCAAATCGTCTTCCGAACAGATATTTTCCGAAAATTGACGTTGGGTGCCCCTGAAAAGCTAGAATCAGTTATAGATTCCCGGTTTCTGCTTTCTATTCTGCTCAAGAAAGAAGCCAGTACAGCCTTGGACTCTACGCTAACTAACCAGGCTTAATCCAGCGTATGATTTCATCAAAAGCACTGGACCTCACAAGCCCAGTTGTAATCACGCCGGCGGAGATAACAGCGTCATATTCACCATCTTGTATCTCTTCTATTTTCTCAGTGGTCACAAAAGCGCTGATAAGAGTCTTGTAGATTTTCCTCTGTCTCGCGATAGTGAGCATGTCTTCAGACACATCCAGTCCAACCAGATTGTCATATCCGTATTTTTCCTTCAGAACTTGACCTGACAGTCCCGTCCCACAACCCAAATCCAATATTTTGAGGTCTTTCTTGCTTTCACCATAGAGGTCTTTAGCCGCATTGAAGAAGCCTTCGCCGCATGATGAATGAGCGAGGTAACCTGGGGAGCCAGGAGCGGAACCTTCAAAGACCCACTAAAAAGAAAAAATAGGAATGAAGGTAACACTAAATTTGTTTCACTCTACAGTAAGGTTAGCTTATTGAGTTGCCTGTCGCATAGCACAGTCAAAATATACGTTTTGCCTAGTGCGTCGAGACAAGACAAAATAGCGCCATACTGATGACCCAGGAGGCATTACGTGTTCTCTTCATTGTCGATATAAATCTTGAAAAAAAATTTTTTCAGGGGTTGTTATTTGGGCGTGGCCCAAATACGGTAATGGAAACGGCTTGTTTTAACCCAAATGTGAAATAGGCACGCAATACGTGCTAACGTAAACAAGGCAAGTAAACGAGCGAAGCGAGCCGAATGTCTGCCATGCGAACGTCTTGTACAAGGTAAGAGGCATGTGGGAAAGAAAGCTCTGCTAGCACGGCACTTTATCGCACTTTTAAGATCCCAAAAGTTAATCTGAATCTTCAGTATTTTTCCCACATCGAAATTTGGAAGTCTGAAGTCCGGGGATGAAATCTATAAAAAATATTTGGAACAGTAAGGTCGGGGTTTGGTCTTAATAAGATCACAAGCAACGAACCTTGAAACACAGAAACTCACAAAACGGATCGAAATCCACCAATCACAAATCACAAACAATGACCTTTTGAACCCGTTGAAGTAAACTTTCGTTTCCTAAGAGGTCCGCTAAGATGATTGGCGTCTGACATTTTTTTGACGAGAGGATCGAAATGCACCAGTCATAGAAAGACAGTTTTAATTGCATGTTTCCTAAGAGGTCATCTTAATTTGCTGTTTTCTTTATTTTATGTCCATTTTTTCCCATATTTTGTGATTGGTCGATTTTGTTAGGTCGAGTGGATAATCCAGTGAGGGACGAATTGGATATCGTTCGATCCGAAATTTTTCGAACCAGCAGTAAGAAGCAGTTTGGATAACATTTGGCCGCGGCTTTTTGAGGAACGTGTTAATATATTGTTCAATTATGTTATCCCGGGTAAACTTACAAATGCACACGATGCTTGCGTTAGGCCCACACTAAAAAGTAACTCTGAGTGTTTTCGGAATGGGCTGGTCCGCGAACTCAAAGAAAAACAAAGGAAAATATCGAGACATTCAATGACATCAAAGACTCATGGACCCCATAGACGCAATGACAAATCGGAATATGAGGAGTGTATGTGTAAAATGGATAAGAGTTTGAACAGAGGAAAGTTTAACAAGTTTGAGAGTTGCAAGATTGTGTAGCTGGTTATCAGTGTGACAATAGTGATTTTGATTTTTGCATTGCGGAACACAACGAGTTGCCTGTGACAAAAATCTGTTCCGATGAAGGAAGAGGCGATTGTCAACAATTGAAACCAAAAGGTACTTAGGCTTCTTTTGGAACTATGGTGATAACTGTAACAATTCTTTTTATTATTTTAATTTTGTTTAGCAGGGTGACGGTTAATGTGCTTGTTTTTGTATTGCGTCTTGCGTTTTTTCATCTAATTGTGTATATTGTGACGCGGTACATGTACGATACTGTGCGTCGGGATTTTGCATTATCAGCAAGTTTTGTGTTAGAGTGTTTTGATGGCAGCGAGGTGACCACAAGAGAAGGTGATGGGCTAGTTGTACAGAAGGAAAATTGTATTGTGGAGGAAATAAAAGAAGTTGAATTGAGAACTCGTCGTGGGAAATTTATTTATAACAGAACTTACAATTCCGTTGGTTTAAAAAAGGTTAGTCATTTTTCTCGACGCGATTGTGTACCTAGCAAAATAACGATAAAGAAATTAAAATCTTTGTTACAGAAAACACGGAAGGTGAGGCTTTTTGTATGGAAGGGTATTCGGAAAAATACAACATTGTCGTCTGAAATTCATTGTTACGTTAAAAATGGAAAAGGTTTACACTTAAACAGGTACAGAAGTAACTGTAACTGTGAGGTTTTTACTTAAAGGGCAACTCATTGAGGCTGGGGGATATAAAGAATTTGAGTCTCATGCTAGAGATATGTATCATAACAGTCATAGTGAAGGGACATGTGTATTGTTAGAAATACCATCCATGCATAAATTAGTACAATATTTTCAGACTCTACATAGGAATAAGCATACGTATATGTGAACTTAAAGGTGTACATATTGCCACCTTTGAAGCTCATCTGTTCTCAAGCAATGTTGAACATTGTAGTGTATCAAATGTTAATAGTTGCCAATGTTCCTGTAAACAGTGCTACCCTATAGCAGTTTATGCAATGTGTTACTCTCTTATTAATCCTTGGGCATGGATACTGGACTTAAGGAACTTTGTTTGCCCTTGTTAGTAACCGGAATACAATGTACAATGTGATGGGTGTGAAAACACATCTGTCAGTCAATCTTCCTCAAAGTGTCAGTATCAGTGGAGCTGAGATAAACCTTACTCTCCGGGCTGTAACCACTTACCGTATTTATTCGAATAAGCGCCCAACCTCGAATTAGCGCCCACCTCGAATAAGCGCCCATGCTAAAGACAGAAAACGTTAATAAGCGACCAGCCTCGAATAAGCGCCCACCCCACCCTACTCACTCCCACAAAAACTCCAATAAGAGATAATAAGAGACCCTCCCGAAGACGGAGTTTTCTTCAGACTATTTTACAGAAACCTTGCTTTGCTACATCTTCACTTTTTGTTAGTATCATTTACAGTTTTGTTGCAAAATATACTACTACACTTGCTGAGAATGGTGAAAATTTAATAAGCGCCCAGCCTCGAATAAGCGCCCGCCTCGAATAAGCGCCCACTCTCAAGGTCCAAACATTTAATAAGCGCCCAGGGCGGTTAATGGAATAAATACGGTATGTTCTATGTTTCAATTTGGCGCCAAGCATGTCGGCATTGAAGATGTGCATATTTTCAAACATTGTCGTGAAATGACAGGATTATTGTTGTGGATTGGGACATACTGTATAAGCTGTGTGGTTCAGCAAACATGTAGAGTAAAGGATTTATCTTCTCTAGTAAGAGATGATGACAGTTGTTTAGCTGCAATAAAGCATGTTCAAAGTATCATACGAATAGTACGACCACGCCCAAATATACGCTCCCACAGCGTCTGGTTAGTCTCAAATTAACCCCAAAAAAACTAAGGGAAAAAATTTGATCACGTAGTGAGCCTATAAAAACCCCACATCTTTAAAAGAATCCGGATGGAGAGGCCCATTTCAAAACAATCGATCGTTAAGACGAATCAAAGTTTATGTCAAAACTGGACTATGGAAATGATCACAACACATTCAGAAATCGACAAAGATGAGGACATCATACCGGCAGACAACACAAGTCAACATCAACTGGCAACAGTTAAGATGCAAGAGACAAATCTGACAAGTTTCGTACTCAGAAATCAACGGTTACATCGGTAAAAAGCTTATATGCATCACTGAATCTTGCGAAAGCAGCAAAATACAAATTGTTTGACCAACTGCTTACACTGATGTTCTCACACCACAAAGGAATAGAATACTCCCTAAAGATAAGAGAGGAACTATGAGCGAAAATCTTAAAATAAGTTTCCTCATGAAGATAAAAACCGTTAATCTCAAGAAGCTCATATCAATCCGCACTGACATTCATGTCTGATTGAACACTTTCGTACTAAAAGGGTCCCTAGAACAATAAACGAATGGAATTAATAGTATCGGTAATAGATGCACATATATTAAGAATCTTTAAAAATAACATAGGCACGTTTAACGTGCATGAGCTATTTTGAATGCTTTAGTGTAACCCGGACCAAGAGTGATGACTCTACCTTTTTCATCCTAAATGTAAACTGGGTTTTTGTGCGAAATTGGGTATTGAGGTACATAAATGAAAACACGAAACGCTCAGCTGAGTCGATCCCCATGCTATATATATCTACTTTTCTCAGTCTTTCCCTGATACATCTGGTATAAGTTAAACAAATTGTTAAAGTAAAATAAATATCGACTCACCAAACGTTGATTCGAAGGAAAACTCTAAGGTTTACTCGGAGTTTCTTAAGAAAATGTGACTCATCGAATACCCAATAGTTACACAATACCAGGATTTTTATGATATTTTATCACTGTGGTAGATGGTTGCATCATCATAATTCGCGAGGTTTTCACGTGCGATTCTACTCAGTGAAACAGCATAACGAGCCGCACCGTCTTAGCAACCAAAAAAATTTTGTTTATCAAGCTGAGATAGGGGACTAAAAGTCCCCTATCTCAGCTGGATACTCAGAAGCTTGTAACATTCACTATTCCATTTATCTCTGATCATATTTCGCATCTAATACGATAGAGGCGTCAATTTTCGCGCCATCATGTCATCATTCTAGGGCGAGAAATTTAATTAAAGCGCGGCATTAAACAAATGTACGGCTCAAGTTTCGGCTAAAATTATTCAGTGCCGTCAAAGAAAAAAACATATTATTAAGGTCTGCGTATAAAGTCGATCACATTGCTAACACAGACAAAAACGCTTAAATATCTCCTACAAAATGAACGGCTGAGTTTGGTTTTTCTACGGGTCAAACTGCTACTATATCTCCCAGAAGCGCTCAGGCATAATAATATGCCAGGACTTCTACCTGGATGAACCAGAAAGGATATAGAACAACTGCCTATTTTTTTTTTACGTTTACGGGTTGAAATGTTACACGTGTTATATATCCTAGAAGCGCTCAGGCATAATAATAACATGCCAGGACTTCTACCTGGATGAACCAGAAAGGATATAGAACAACTGCCTAAATTTTTTTTTACGGCTACGGGTTGAAATGCTAAACGTGTTATATATCCTAGAAGCGCTCAGGCATAATGATATCATGCCAGGACTTCTACCTGGATGAACCAGAAAGGATATAGAACAACTGCCTAAATTTTTTTTACGGCTACGGGTCGAAATGCTAAACGTGTTATATATCCTAGAAGCGCTCAGGCATAATGATATCATGCCAGGACTTCTACCTGGATGAACCAGAAAGGATATAGAACAACTGCCTAAATTTTTTTTACGGCTACGGGTCGAAATGCTAAACGTGTTATATATCCTAGAAGCGCTCAGGCATAATGATATCATGCCAGGACTTCTACCTGGATGAACCAGAAAGGATATAGAACAACTGCCTAAATTTTTTTTTACGGCTACGGGTCGAAATGCTAAACGTGTTATATATCCTAGAAGCGCTCAGGCATAATGATATCATGCCAGGACTTCTACCTGGATGAACCAGAAAGGATATAGAACAACTGCCTAATTTTTTTTACGGCTACGGGTTGAAATGCTAAACGTGTTATATATCCTAGAAGCGCTCAGGCATAATGATATCATGCCAGGACTTCTACCTGGATGAACCAGAAAGGATATAGAACAACTGCCTAAATTTTTTTTTACGGCTACGGGTTGAAATGCTAAACGTGTTATATATCCTAGAAGCGCTCAGGCATAATGATATCATGCCAGGACTTCTACCTGGATGAACCAGAAAGGATATAGAACAACTACCTAATTGTTTTTTACGGCTACGGGTTGAAATGCTAAACGTGTTATATATCCTAGAAGCGCTCAGGCATAATGATATCATGCCAGGACTTCTACCTGGATGAACCAGAAAGGATATAGAACAACTGCCTAATTGTTTTTTACGGCTACGGATCGAAATGCTAAACGTGTTATATATCCTAGAAGCGCTCAGGCATAATGATATCATGCCAGGACTTCTACCTGGATGAACCAGAAAGGATATAGAACAACTGCCTAAATTTTTTTTTACGGCTACGGGTCGAAATGCTAAACGTGTTATATATCCTAGAAGCGCTCAGGCATAATGATATCATGCCAGGACTTCTACCTGGATGAACCAGAAAGGATATAGAACAACTGCCTAATTTTTTTTTACGGCTACGGGTTGAAATGCTAAACGTGTTATATATCCTAGAAGCGCTCAGGCATAATGATATCATGCCAGGACTTCTACCTGGATGAACCAGAAAGGATATAGAACAACTGCCTAAATTTTTTTTACGGCTACGGGTCGAAATGCTAAACGTGTTATATATCCTAGAAGCGCTCAGGCATAATGATATCATGCCAGGACTTCTACCTGGATGAACCAGAAAGGATATAGAACAACTGCCTAATTGTTTTTTACGGCTACGGATCGAAATGCTAAACGTGTTATATATCCTAGAAGCGCTCAGGCATAATGATATCATGCCAGGACTTCTACCTGGATGAAACAGAAAGGATATAGAACAACTACCTAATTGTTTTTTACGGCTACGGATCGAAATGCTAAACGTGTTATATATCCTAGAAGCGCTCAGGCATAATGATATCATGCCAGGACTTCTACCTGGATGAACCAGAAAGGATATAGAACAACTACCTAATTGTTTTTTACGGCTACGGGTTGAAATGCTAAACGTGTTATATATCCTAGAAGCGCTCAGGCATAATGATATCATGCCAGGACTTCTACCTGGATGAACCAGAAAGGATATAGAACAACTGCCTAAATTTTTTTTTACGGCTACGGGTCGAAATGCTAAACGTGTTATATATCCTAGAAGCGCTCAGGCATAATGATATCATGCCAGGACTTCTACCTGGATGAACCAGAAAGGATATAGAACAACTGCCTAATTGTTTTTTACGGCTACGGATCGAAATGCTAAACGTGTTATATATCCTAGAAGCGCTCAGGCATAATGATATCATGCCAGGACTTCTACCTGGATGAAACAGAAAGGATATAGAACAACTACCTAATTGTTTTTTACGGCTACGGATCGAAATGCTAAACGTGTTATATATCCTAGAAGCGCTCAGGCATAATGATATCATGCCAGGACTTCTACCTGGATGAACCAGAAAGGATATAGAACAACTACCTAATTGTTTTTTACGGCTACGGGTTGAAATGCTAAACGTGTTATATATCCTAGTAGCGCTCAGGCATAATGATATCATGCCAGGACTTCTACCTGGGTGAACCAGAAAGGATATAGAACAACTGCCTAAATTTTTTTTTACGGCTACGGGTTGAAATGCTAAACGTGTTATATATCCTAGAAGCGCTCAGGCATAATGATATCATGCCAGGACTTCTACCTGGATGAACCAGAAAGGATATAGAACAACTGCCTAAATTTTTTTTACGGCTACGGGTCGAGATGCTAAACGTGTTATATATCCTAGAAGCGCTCAGGCATAATGATATCATGCCAGGACTTCTACCTGGGTGAACCAGAAAGGATATAGAACAACTACCTAATTGTTTTTTACGGCTACGGGTTGAAATGCTAAACGTGTTATATATCCTAGAAGCGCTCAGGCATAATAATATGCCAGGACTTCTACCTGGATGAACCAGAAAGGATATAGAACAACTACCTAAATTTTTTTTAACGGCTACGGGTTGAAATGCTAAACGTGTTATATATCCTAGAAGCGCTCAGGCATAATGATATCATGTCAGGACTTCTACCTGGATGAACCAGAAAGGATATAGAACAACTACCTAAATTTTTTTTTACGGCTACGGGTTGAAATGCTAAACGTGTTATATATCCTAGAAGCGCTCAGGCATAATGATATCATGCCAGGACTTCTACCTGGATGAACCAGAAAGGATATAGAACAACTGCCTAAATTTTTTTTTAAAGCTACGGGTCGAAATGCTAAACGTGTTATATATCCTAGAAGCGATCAGGCATAATGATATCATGCCAGGACTTCTACCTGGATGAACCAGAAAGGATATAGAACAACTGCCTAAATTTTTTTTTAAAGCTACGGGTCGAAATGCTAAACGTGTTATATATCCTAGAAGCGCTCAGGCATAATGATATCATGCCAGGACTTCTACCTGGGTGAACCAGAAAGGATATAGAACAACTACCTAATTGTTTTTTACGGCTACGGGTTGAAATGCTAAACGTGTTATATATCCTAGAAGCGCTCAGGCATAATAATATCCCACGACTTCTACCTGGATGAACCAGAAAGGATATAGAACAACTGCCTTTTTCTTCTACCCGTCGAAGTTCTAAACGTGTTATTCTTAGAAGCGCTCAGGCTTAATTATATGCCAGGTTTCCAGCGACTGATTTTAGCTGATTTTGCGGTGCGCAAGAATGGATAATTTACCCGACTTGTAAACAGATATTTCCTTCAGCCGATTGTGTCTCATGCAGGAGAATGTCATATCTGCGTTGTTTTGTTTCTACTGAAGTTTTATCAAAGAAAGCTTAAGCGAAAATAGGGAGATCGCAATTTATACTCTTACGAACTATAAATTAGGGCTGACCTGGAAGACGCGTTGAATTGTGCCGCCATCCTTCAAAATATAACCTGGCTGCGTTTAGGGAGACAATTTCCTCTTCCATCCAGATGTACTTGGTATATGTGTTTGCGCGAATCTTCAGACAAAGAATTGGGTATACACTGATTCGAATGGCTTGGCGATACTAAGTGCTTAAGTCTACTTACCGATTACAACATGTTTTGGAAGTATTGAGAAGCGCGCCAAACGAAGCTGTCACAGCGTTCTCGAGCGAACACGGCGCGACCTGGATTGATAAAAATTACCATTACATGCAGGTATCATGCCAGTGATATCTCCTTTCGTCGCATAGTGAATAGTTTGTGAGCACATCCTCGACTCTCGAAACATTTGTCTTGCGCCGCTATAGAAGTTGCTTCTCCCGCGAACCATAGGTAGATTTCCCGCTTAACATAATGTTTGATAATTTATGCAAAAGTTGACCTCGTGGAAGTCAGCAGTGCATTAATCGACTCAAAAATAAACAGACTTCCTACAGGGTTTTGAACACGGTTTTAATTAAAGTACTTTACGAGCGCTGCGGTAGTTGACCGCAAAAGTGTTACGGTGATGGATACTCAACGGGATGATTACGTCACTTCATAGCAACCAGACGGTACGAATTTTTTAACTTCCGGAGCGCTGAGGCTCGTAGTGCTTTAACTCTGACAACTTAATTCTTAATGTTTTAAAAGTTATTGCTTCTTAAAAGACAAGAGCCTTTTCAAGGCATTGGTTGCAAACCGAAACAGGTCTTCATACGTTCGAGTTACTATTACCGTGAAAAGCTAATATGATATGTACAGTCACACTGCTGGCAAGTGAAAGTGTTGGACTTTGCCCCCTTTCGTGGTCCGTACGTGAGGGAATTCGACTTATCACACAGTAATCTAGTAAACAGCATTATAAAAATAACTCATACACACAATTTGCACGTGAAGATGTCGTACTTTGGCCCTTTTAAAATTTGTACGTGAAAGAACGCATGTTGTTTAAGAGATTACTTTGCTCAAACGATTTTAATAAATTACCTCTTTTTCTGACATCTACAATAAAATTATGCATCATTCATTACTTTACATCTAACACAAGCATTGTTTGCTGAAATACTGATTTCTACTCATCTCATGTTATTCCACTCAATGAAACAATTTCTAATGATTTTGTTAACTGGCTACTTCCAAGTTTATTCGCTAACGCAAAAGTTACGCATCTTTACTTAGCCACTGGGTAAATTAAATACACTGTACTATGTTTTAATTGCTTTTATGACAGCAAACATGTCTCAGATATGGTTGCACTTAAGTTGCCGGAACGCGAATTTAAAGGTCTGTTTAACTTTGCACGAGAGAGAATAAAGCATGTTTACGGAATTATACTTACTCGGTACAGCTTTAAAAAAATCAGCTCTTGTTCAAGCTTCTAAAAAGACTATTACGCATACTTCCAAGTTAAAGTCAACAACTAAATACCAATTGTTAACCAGGGGCGTAGCCAGAATTTTTCAAAGAGGGGGTCACAGAGGCTACTCACCCGCTGCTCTCCCTCGTGTATCAGCGGGCTCAGTCGTATTATCGCGGCATGAAGGCCCATATTAACTAAAGACAAGAGCCGTTGATGAAAATACTTTACAAAAAACAAATTTTAAAAAGGTGGGCTTTTCAACAATGGGTTTTACGGCCAAGATATCGTCATGGCGTTTTCGCCACCTGAATATTGTAGGTTGTTTGCTCAAAAGAAGGCCTACCAAGGGGGGATCACGGGCACCCCAGGACCCCCCCCCCCTAGCTACGCCCCTGTTAACGTTTCATTTTTGGACCTTTGAAAACTATGATTTTCTGTACTTCACTTTGAAGCAGGTGAAACATACTTCACGTACATTGTACCGTTCGCGATAGCCAAATTAGGTCATAAATGTCTTAAACCAGCAGCCACATTGAAATATCAACCATAAACAGCTGCATCACTGTACTCGCCGTTTGAATAATGAAGATATTTCAATCTTATGCTTCTAAATACCTTTAGCCGTATTAAAACACGACAAAATTGTGAACAACAAAAATGGTGGTCTCAAAATGCCCTTGCTTGACTTTTAGTGAAGCAATGTCATGTTTAGATGTCAAAATCTCATTGGTTCAGGAGCACCCAACGGCAGTTTTCGGGAAAATATCTGTTAGGAACACGATTTGAGATCTAGAATTTTCGGAGCATTTGTTGTAAAATTTCTTGCTTGCCTGCCTCTCCTAGGATTTTCGAACATCTACAAGATGGTATAATTACCCATTTTTAACGGATTTTGACCCTAAAAAAGGTCACCTAGAATTTTCGGGAGCCTTTTCCTGGCTAAAATTTTCTAGAAGATAAGTTTTTATCCCTATAATTTTCGGATCACTAGACTTTCAGCTAGGAAATCCGAAAACATGAAAAGTTTTTAGGGGATAAAAATATGCCTATATCTACCGTTTGAATACTAAAATACGCTCAACAATGCTATTTTAAGTGGTTTTGAACTATATCCTCGTTGGGTGTCCCTGTTGGTTCTTACCATAGTACCTCATAGTACCTCCTACCTCATTGGCCCCTGCAACACACATCCTTACAGACAAAGCCACAAAGATACATACGCTCACACCACTGACATATGAGCTATATGTGCTTGAAAAAAATAAGCCCACAGTACAGGATTTACGGTATGATATTCAGTGAAGCGAAAAAAAAAATGTATGTAGTACCCCAGCAACAATTTCGAACTGAGTAACATCTACGTCTTGACCTACAAATGCAAAGTGTAACAGATGTCTTGGGAGAATGTGAAAAGGCCAAAAAAGAAAGTTTTGCCGTGGGCTCCCTCTGGAATAGAAGACATACTCAAGACAAGCAAATCTACTTTAGTTAAATTTGTTTTTAAGTTCATGCTCCCCTGAGCAGAAAACCTCAGGAATCCTAGAAAAAGAGTCTTTAACTAGAGTTTGCTATTCAAGGAAAGATCTTGTTCATTTTTTGGGGAGGGGTACGGGTTTGGGAAGTAAAAAAATACATATCATACGGCTTGAAACAGACCTAGAACAAAAACACAACACATGCATGGAGTTATACTGCTTTAACCCAGACGATCATAGCGGAGCCTCCGCGCGCGTGAAGCGCGCGCGAGCGTAGCTCAAAATCCACCAAACATTTGCTCAATTGACAGATTCTGACTTGTCAGTCATTTCTAAAGCATTTTGAAACAATAGGGGACAAATTTCTCTAGGGGAGAGGGGAGGAATTTGTTTCTACCTACCCCTACCCTAACCTGAGTATCAGGTCTTCCTAAGGGGCTAGGGGAGAGGAGAATTTAGATGGGGGAGGGAGGAGGGGGAGAAGAGAAAGGAAGGCCTGACACAAAACCATTCAGTAAATCGTGTGACACATCCAAAATCTGGATGTGGCAGTGATTGGATAACACACAATACCCCCTGACGTCACCGACCGCAAGAGCGATCGGCAAGGAGAAGCCATTGAAATTTTTCATAGATGTTTTGATTTCATGTTACCGGTATGTGATAGTTTTATGGACAGAGACGCAGAGAGGAATTCAAAAAGGCTCTAGAGGGCGCTCTCAAGTTCTTTCCTGGAATAAAAATAAAACCCGAGCAAGAATTGTGTTTTCGCGGAGTATGGAAAAGCGCCATATACCAGCTTCTGCCGAAACTATATGTCCGAGTATTGGTTTCACAAGACCGGGACAAAGAAGACGATATCAGTGTTTCAGATATCTAAATTCTGATTTACAACATCCTGCCGTTAAAAGGGTATTGTTACTGTAAATGACGCTGAGAAGATGTTCACGTTTTGCTCGGCGAAATCCAGAAAACTTGTTTTTTAGCGAAGACGACTGTCATCCTACTTTATATTCATTTACGAACATTGGCTGTAATTTGTCTTGTTATTGCAAGATAAATTTTCCTGATTTAGTCGGATTGTTCGGCGATAACAAAAGTGCGTAACAAATTTAAAATCAAAAATAAAAAGGAAATTTTACCTTTAAATGTTGTTAATGACCAATAGGACAATATTTGACTACAACTACCAGAATTCATTTCGGTTCCTTAATTTGTGCAAGAAAACAACAAACTCAAGGATTCTGGTAGTTGTAGTAAAATGACGTCATCGTACAATAGTCCTATATTATACGCACGGGCGTGCATAAATAAAGATTTTGTTCATAGCGGCTCAATACGCCCAGTGGCTCTGGAGACGAGAATGAATGGGACTTATATCGGGCAAGCACGCGCGCTATGTTATAATGATTTTTTGCCATGTGCTCAGCCGATTTAACTTGGTCAACTTGCGTGAACGGATCCACGATCCAGTTAGTGTTACGCGAATTGCTTCTTAAGATTAACTTATCGGTTTTTGAATAAAAAATTTTCAAGAAATTAAGTTATTTACCTGTCATTGTTCATTCATAACATTAGCTCAAAACACGATCGTGAGACTACAGATCGTGAGATTTTTAGAAACACTTCAGACGGGCTTCTCCCCTTTCTTAATTAAAAATGAAGTGTTGTTTTTGTACATGTTTCATTGAATTGCTATTCATTTTCTTATTCATTACTTGCCATTGAAGAATTTTGCAGTGTGCTGCTCTTTTTCCATAACTCGTTCCCTGAATACCGCTTGAATGAAGTTTATTGCGTTTGTTTTCAGTTAGTTGTTTGTTTACGGCTGAAAAAGTGGCTTATCTAAATATGAAAGAGTTCTCCTCTATTCTAACGACAGACTCGTCGGCTTTTCGAGCCCGAGTTACGCTTGTATTTATTTTTTTATAAAAATGTGCAAATTGCTGTATTAACGTTTATAATTTGTAGTGTAATTTTAAGTCTATCGCACGTTTCTCAGCAATGCACTGCACAACACCTGAAGCATTTATCCATGCCTGAATACGTACCGGCGCACAGTTTGATTAGGCTAATTACAGTTATATGTAGCGAAAAAGGTTATTGTTTGCTTTCCTATGTCTGTCTTCAAAGAAAATATACTCCTTACGGTAAACGTTTCTATCAGATATTGTGAGGTATAAATGTAAAGGCTATACATAACTATTCCAGACTATTCGTCCGGGCCCGTTTAAAAAAATGACAAAAAAAAGGAAAGAAAATATAATGGGCTTACGGGAATACAGAAGTCGGCCCTAAGTCGGCCTGATTTTCCTTTTATAGGTCTTCCCTTAAATACAGAAATACTGTCCCTAGAAATCGTAACCTGTAAATTGCTGCTTCTGAAGAGACCTACAATTCCACAATTTCTCAATTCAGGTTGGTTTGCGGGATTTTTTTTGTTAATCATTTAGCCCTGATGCCGAAGGCTCCTACAGTTTAATTAATAGGGATGCGAAGATTTCTTTTTTTGGCTTAGAGTTCATGTTATAAGTTTCAATTTGATTGCTTTTATCATAAGTATAGAAACGGAGGCTTCGCTTTTAGCCCTGGCTAAATCTGTATATTACAAATTCAAATGACAACATATCCATTTCTTGGAATAGTAACAAATTATACACTCAGCGTCAATAGAGTATGATCATTATCACACTTTTCAAAATTTTTAGACCACTGCTTCACGGCGCAGCTCAGTGTAGACCTGTCACAGCCAACTAACCGGATTATCTATCATGACTAAGCAGTTACAGGAGAGATTTCGAAAATGATTGGATCAAAAAGTTAAACGCTAAAAGATTTTTAAAATACATTTAAAAACATTTAAGAAAGTGAACGACGTTTCGGTGCTACGTTACGCCATTATCAAGTTGAAAAGTGAAAAAGTATAAGGTGTAAAACGAATATATAAAATTTGAAACAATACATAAAATATTTGCGGGTCCAATGGGTATAACCCCCAAAGGTAAGAAACACAATAACAGAAAAAAAAAAAGTACTCAACAGTGTGCACCCTAGCTTGTCTTTCACTATGGAACTTGAACATGACGACTCTTTTCCGTTCCTCGGTACAGTTTTGACAAGATGTGGTGGCACTCTAACAACAGAAGTCTACAGAAAACCAACCGACACAGGACTGCTACTCCATTTCCAAAGCCACGTCGACAGCAGATACAAGAAGGGCCTAGTGTACCGTCTATCTTCCACCAAAGAGGGTTTTGCAAAAGAATACAACAAGTTACGCACCATGTTTCCAAAGCTGCGCTATTCGAAAACTTTGGTCGATTCCACTATAAATAAGTTCAGCCAGGAACCAGATAAAGAAATACACACCGTACCTTCAGCAGACCCATCTGTTTACATAGTATTGCCCTTTAAAGATCAGCGATCAGCTGATCGCGTACGCAAAGATATATCTATTCCCTAGGAGCCAAGATCGATGTTAACGTAAAACCCGTCTCTACAAGCAGAAAACTGTCACAAACCCTGAGTGTCAAGGAAAACAAGCCCCCGATCGTCAAAACTCAATGCGTTGTATACTTATTTCAATGTGATTTGTGCGATGCAAATTATGTCGGGTACGCTACCCGACACTTACACCAACGTATAAGTGAAGACCGTTATTCAGCCATCGGGAAACACCTTAAAACACAGCATAGCAACAACAGAACACAAACTGACCATCTCTTCAAAGTTCTAAGGAAATGTAACAGCAAGTTTGATTGCTTAGTCTACGAGATGTTATACATAAAGGACATAAAGCCTTTTCTTAACACGCAAGCCGCCTCCATTCGCGCCAAACGAGTTACGTGAAACTTTCGTACATTCCTATTTATATTCACGACTAAGAGACGGGAATGGGTGTGCAGCTCGAACTATGGAGCCTGAGTGTTTAATGCCGTCCAAATAACATACAAAGTTCAACATCATAACTAAAGAATGGTAAACAAATATTCCTAAATAAAGTCACTCAGGCTAAACTATTCACGTGCGCCGCCTGATACGAAAACCCAAAAAACCCAATGGGAAAAAATTGGGAACGTATTCCCCAACCGATGCGGTCGCACAACCTCTGGGGGTTAAAGGTAAAAAATCAATCGATAGATGGATAAAGTAAGGTATAAAAATAAAATTTGATAGTTCGAGAGCTGAGATGAATACATTACAACTGTCAAAACCTTATATACCTTACAACAATAGAGTCAATTAACGCCATAGCGGCTCACGTGCGTTCATACCAATAGGAAAGTATTTACATTCTCTGTCACTGCCACTACGTTTAGCTCCGCCGAATGTAAATACATTTTTTTTCCCTTATTGTGTTTCTTAGGGCCTGTTTACATGGAGATGGGGGACCCCAGGTAGGTGAGGTAACCCGCTTAGGTGGGGTAACCAGCCTGTCCATATAAACTCTCATTTTAATTTGATCACGTTTACATGATAGGTGGGGTTACCCGCCACATGTTACCTCACCTACCTGGGGTCCCCCACCTCCATGTAAAAAGGCCCTTACCTTGGGAATTACACCCATTGGACCCGCAAATATTTTATGTATTGTTTCAAATTTTATATATTCGTTTTACACCTTATACTTTTTCACTTTTCAACTTGATAATGGCGTAACGTAGCGCCGAAACGTCGTTCACTTTTTTAGACTAAGCAGTTAACAAGGAAATTGACTAGGCCCAGGATTCCTGTGCCGGTCGCAATATTATTGCTGCAGTCAAGATGAGTGAAACAACTTATACACGACGGAAAAAACTTTTTTAGCGTACCGAGAGCCTATGACCCTGAGCGTACCCAATCCCATTTTGATCACCTTTGGGGGTCCTTCGGGTGCTGGCCCATCATGTCTAGTTTCCATATGTCCCTTCCCTTCTTCGGCCTAAAACCCCTGCAGTAGATATAGTTCCCGAAAAAAGTTGGACTAATCTGAAACTACAGTATAGTGGGCGATGGGAAAGTATAGTGCTCTTTGACACCCGGCCAGTCTTCAGTTATTACACCCTGCCTAAGTTCGCAAACGTCTCGACTAATTGAATGCGTATTTACGCCCCAAAACAGTACCTTATCATAGCACACAGACCATACTTTGTAAACCTTCTGGATTCTCTCTTTGGAAGTATTGTTCAAGTTGAGGTCAAGGGCTTCCTGGGGATAGAAACACGCTGCGTCTCCATTTTCTGCCATGTCTCCTGCAGCCACAAAACAAATACCAGTTCAACTTACTAACCATTTTTGAACTGTAACAGGTGTCGGTAAAGGTACAGTAAAACGGTTAACAAAAACGTGCAACTTGTTTTGCAACATCGCTGCAATTTGAGTTGAATCGCGATTTTTCGCGTTTTACCTCCCACGAATCAAACCTGTCTTGCAACAAATCAGATTGTTGCAGATTGTGAAACCTTTTTGCAAAGAGAAAATAAGAAAAGTAAAGAGAAGTCCTATTTTTAGCAGCAAAATCTGCACATGTTGGGCGTTTTACCGGCCCAAGGCAAACTATAGTTTTGCAGCAAGTGACGAAAATGTTGTTTATGGCATGACTCCGGTGTAATTTTAACCAATCAGAAGTCAGTATTCGCGCAACTTGCAACAACCGGCAATCGTTACAAGGTCTATTGGGGAAATTGAAATGAGGGATTGGTTCGAGAAGCAATATCGTATGATTTCCTGACGGTGTGAGATAAGCGTCGAGTCAGAAACTCGGGCATTCACGTCGTTGTTGATTATGAAGCTTAAATGATTTTTATTGAGGGTCGCTAACTGAATACAGTTGTACGGTGATGCTCTTCAGTCCTTCTCAATTTTCTAAACATCAGCCGACGCGGGGTAAGTCTATTTTGGGTTCCTTTGTATCATCTTCTAATGGATACCTATTATCATTTTAGCACAAAAATGTGTTAAGGTCGACACTGATCACTCGATCATTTTATAAATTCTCAATAACTACTAATTGTGTGAAAGTGTAATTTTCATAGAGAATGTTGATGGAGATCACTATTTCTTAAGCCTGATCGCACTGAAACAGTTCAGTTCAGTCACAGTTCAGTTTTTAAGTGTGGATCGTAGTGGATATTTTCAATTCTATCAAATCCCTTTTAAGAAAACAGGAAATGTTATTTTGCCCAAGCCAGTGGCTATCAACTGTCGGTAAAAGTGGGTAAAATTTCATAAACCAGAAAGCTGATTACAAATTAAAGCTTTTATTTAATTTTACACTCATTAAATCTGTGAAGTTAATTGTTTTAAGGGTATAAGGAGTTTAATAAACACATGAATCAGACATGTTTAGTAAACAAAGTAATCAGTGTACTTTTGACCTTTGGTCAAACTCAGGTGGTTGTGAGTTTTAAGTTTGATGTTTAGACTGTCTTGTTTGTGTTATTGCAGTGACTCGAATCCCAAATTGAAATGTCTGTATTTTTTTTTTTTTAAAGCTTACTAATGAAAATTTGTGCTTTAATTGAAATCGATTTTTTTTTCTTATGCCATGATTTAAAGGTACTTGAAGTTATTCATAACTTGTGATCAATAGGAGATGCCTATAATTGTTAAGAACTTCCTTGACTGTATTTTATTAGTGTTGTCGAGAGAAGATGGTGATGACCAGCCGTTAATTTTACAAACTAAACTATTCCTAAAGGAAACATTGATGATAGTGCATGTCCAGCATTAAGTAATACAGTTTGGCCTTCCGGCTAATGCAACAGAGTAGCTTAGCCTGCTTTTTAGGCTGTGGCTCTGTGAGAATTGTATTCTCGAGTTGTTTCAGAGGGAACTAAAAAGGAGCGTTCAGATACTGATTAAACCCCTGTTTAGCATGCTTGGCCTTCCTAATGCAACAGAGTAGCTTAGCCTTTTAAGGCTGTGGCTCTGTGAGAATTTTATTCTCCAGGTGTCTCAGAGAGAACTAAAAATGCGCTTTCAGATATTAATTGAATCTCTGTCCAGCATTAAGAAAAACAGTTTAGCCTACCTGTTGCAAAAGAGCAGCTTAGCCTTTTTAGGCTGTGGCTCTGTGAGAATTTTAATTCTCCAGATGTCTCAGAGAGAACTTAAAATGCGCTTTCCGATATTGTTTGAATCTCTGTTCAGCGTTAAGAAAAACAATTTGGCCTTTCTGATGCAACAGCGCAGCTTAGCCAATTTAGGCTTTGGATTTGTAAGAAATTTATTCTCCATGTGTCTCAGAGGGAAATAAAAATGAGCTGTTCAGTTTGAGTCCTCGTCCAGCACGAAGTAAAACAGTTCTGCCTTCCTGATGCAACAGAGCAGCTTAGCCCTTAGAAACTAGCCAATCAAAAACGCAGACATATGTCCTTGCGTTTGTGTGGGATTAAAACACGATATTGCGCACAAATTTGCAGACGCTCTACAGTTATTTCGAAAAAGGTTGTCGGAAAAAGTGCACGCGACAATCCCGAAAGGTATTGTGGGTGGTTTTGAGATCACTGTTCTTCTTAGAAATTTTGAAAGGATGGCACGAGAGGCGATGGACTATGTTTCCAAGCGCTAAAGCGAAGCAGCAAAAGTAGGTTGGACAGCTACAATGTCAGAAACAGTGTATGGGTCATATCCCATATTACCTTTCTGGAATACTGCGTGTACTTTTTTCCGACAACCTTTCTCGAAATAGCTGTATACAGAAGGTTTAGAGCGTCCGCGGCGCAGGCAAGACTACTCTTGTCATACAGAAAGTTCATAAAAACAAGCCTCGCATCATGTGACTCTAAATTTGCTCCGTGATCTGGTAATTGCTTGTTGTGGTTCGCGGATCAAAACATTTCCAAAAATGGAAAAGCTCTGGACTGAGATACCGGTTCTTTTTATTCCGAGCGCCGAGCGTAGCGACTTTATAATCTCGTCGTGCGCGAAGCGCGAGTAGTCTGCTAACCGCGCGTGGTCTTAGCTTGGTCTTAGCCAGCTGCAAAATTCGATGCGCCATAAATCTTTTCATGAATATATATTCTTGGTGTCCGCCAATGACGTCATGGAGCATTTTGCGTTTCCAGGCAACATAGACTTTGCCGCCGATGACCAAGGTTTTGATGTGTTTATTCATCGTCTGTGAAACAAAGTTTACGTCGAATCACGAACAATTTCCCATGCAAATGAAACACAAGCACAGCAGGTGCAAAACCTCGCCCAGGAACATTTTCCACCGAAACTCCTCTGGAACGAGAACGCCGACTTCAAATTTACCGTGAAAAACGAAGGAGAAGACGTCAACAAGAAACCGCGGAGCAGAGAGAACATCGCCCAGCACAGCGAAGGCAACGCCACCAACAAGAGACAGAGGAACAGGAGATTGGAATCAGATGCATTATTAATGATCGTTTTACACTGTGGAAAACCCAGATTTCTTAGTTTGCCGGTTTCCCCGCCGATGTATAGATCAACGTCCGCAAAGCTTCAGTTCAGTTTTACGGCCCGAAGTATAATAATTTTCAGGCGAACTGCACTGCCATATTTGTTCTTTGTTTTTGCCTTTTTCTAAATCCGGACGCCGAAATAATGCTAAATCTGCTTCTCAATACACTGTTAACAATAACACCACACAATACGCAAAAAAGAAGGAGAAGAAAAGAAAGAACAACGTATGGACCTTTACGACGATATTCGCGGTTGGTCACCCATCCAGTTCTTAACCCCGACCGACAGCAAGACTCATAATCTGTAACGCGTTTTTCTTCGTATTCTGTTCACAAATGGGGGGTCATTGTGCCAGGCTTTCCTTGCGGAGACCGTTGAAACTGGGACTAAGAATCGTTGCCACGCATCTTTTGCGAAGAAAGATTAGGAAAGATTAAATTTAGAGCTTTTCCGAAACGTATCGGTCCACTAATTCTATCGCTTGAAAAGCGTTGATTACTTTGGAACAAGTGAACACTACTGAGTGGTCGAAAAAAAAATAAGAATCTTAATTAGCAAAACTGCGACAATTGGGTGTTGTAAACTTTCATTGGATACAAATGGGTCTTGTGATGAGCATGCGGTTTAATTTCGGCGATGATTGAAATGACGTGCCATGTAAATCACTTTTTTGATCTCTGGCAATAATGTTATTTCTCTGGAATCGAGGCCTTTGAATTTTCGTGTATTCATACACGCGTATACCTTGCGACCGCAAACGTATTTCCGGTCGTCGCTAGCACGCGTACTAAATCAATTCAGAAACAAATTTAAAGTATCGACGTCAATAAACTAGGAAGTAAAAAAACCTTTAGCGAGTAAATCCTGTGTCGTGTAGAATTAATCGTCTCCTCATTTCTCGATCTAATCTCCAAACAAGGAAGACTGAATGCCGCGCTGTAAGCGCGTTCTTGTCTTTTATCAAATCATGATATGACGTTAAGGTCTCTAAATAAAGGCCCCGAGGGGGTGTCTCCTTTTTTGTCTAGGATTACTCTGGCGCATCGTTTCTGTAAATTGATTACGTCTTGGACGTGCGGCTTGTTTGCTTCATGTCCCCCAGACAATAACCTACGTAGTCAAGTATTAGTTTGGATAAGTGAGTTGTAAAATAAAGTTCTCAGCTTTCAGTCACAGAAATTTCAAGGCTGTTCTTTTCAAGAGCCCAACTCGCTTTCCTATTAGATACCGTTGTTTAAAAACAGTTGTCTATCTTTATGCCTAGTCTTAGTATCGGCTACAGAATCAAGTTGAACCTCAACTGTTCTCACATTAAGATCTCTGCCGTTCAAGCAGTTAGCCACAAACTTATGCTGTAGACAATCGCTTGCAGGGACGAGAATCATCAGCAAACGCAAACGCAACTTACACATGATCTTCTGCGACCGAAAACTCGAACTTATCCTATGGCTATGTGGAAGACGAGCTCAGAGCACTAGCCTAATCATAATTAACCGACTGCTGCTTCAGCCACGAATACTGAGATACACTTTAGGAAATAGAAGTAATGTCAGTAATTGATTATGTAACTGAAAAAGAAGCAGCGTACTTACCACGGAAATTGCGAGGTACTGCTCTCTTTGACGCTACCAGCAGTCAAATGAAAGTTATGCTGCTTGTTAGCTCTAATCAATGGTCAATTTTCTGTACGAGTCATAGAACCGTGAAGTCTCGACATTTTGACATGTTTCCAATCGTGAAGTAATGAACCTTTCACCCGCTAGATCATTCTTTCTGTTGACATTTGCATGAAAAAACGATCTTTAATCCTGGCGCACTTGTAAAATGGATTATAGATAAGAAGGCAGTCTTTGCCAAATCATTGATATTGTATCAGAGGAATATAGTTTTTGGTTGATATTAGTCAAAAGTAAATCAACTACGGTAAAGATACAGTCCAGTTCAGAACATCAGGTTAAATTTTCAGAGCTACTCCCGGCGTTGTTTAGCATTGGTCACCTAGTGAAGGACCGGCTTACATAATGGAGACCGCAAGAAAAGGATGGGCAGTTTTGAGTATTTTTAGAGTCGGGGGTATTTATTTTTAGTGTTTATTAAAAGCCATCTGTGCATGATTTAAAAAAAGCCATCGTTTATGATTTTTTCAAAAAACTGTTATCATTAAAGTAGTTTGGAAATGAATTAATTGACGATGAATGGCGAGATTTAGAATTTTAGACCTGACGTCACATTCCCACGTTCAGTTTAGAAAAAGACACGTCATTCATGTTCACTGAACTGGGAATGGACCCGAATGACGCAGGTGTTTTGTAGGAATAAACTTCCTTCGTGGAAACAATCATACCGCTAGGCCGAAAAGTCCCAAGTAAATGTTTACCGAACGACTTGCGATTTGATTTGCTTATTCTAGCTTTGGCTTTAAACTAGGAGTTTCTCCTACTCATAATTCCGAATATATTTTATGGCCAGGGAAAAGTCCCAGAAGTACATGTTTACAGAACGACTTGCCATTTCATTGGCTTATTCTAGTTTTGGCTTTAAACTAGGGGTTTTTCCTATATATAATTCCGAATAGATTGGCATCTCTGCGGTAGCAGTCACCTGATTTTGACTTTTGGGAGCCAGTTACATAAATCTCAACGTGGGATGCACCAGCTAGTCCCTATTTCAAACAGTGCAAATTATTAGCTAGAAATGCTCTACTTTTTTCTCCACTCTTATATAATTCTATCTCTTTCCAAATGCGCATACTTCTTCAGTTTTCAAAGAACTGACAAAAGTAAATAGAAATAATTTCTATTTACTTTTGCCATCTGTTGAAAAACGACTCATCTTTTCCACAACCTTTAACCCGAGCCTTTAATACGCCGATGGAATGCAGACGAAAGCGGGTTTAAAGCGCTTCCCTTCAACTACTAGAAAACATAGCGGGAAGCGGTCAGAGAAGTCCGAGAAAGCGTTTCGTCGTGCGGAGAAGATCTCGAAAAGGTACTTGCTCGTGGATTACTGAATTGGGGGAATTAAAATGAGGGATTCGTTCCAGAAGCAATATCGTATGATTTCCTGACGGTGGGAGATGACCGTCGAGTCAGAAACTCGGGCATTCACGTCGTTGTTGATTATGAAGCTTAAATGATTTTTATTGAGGGTCGCTGACTGGATACAGCTGTACGGTGATGCTCTTCAGTCCTTCTCAATTTTCTAAACATCAGCCGACGCGGGGTAAGTCTATTTTGGGTTCCTTTGTATCATCTTCTAATGGATACCTATTATCATTTTAGCACAAAAATGTGTTAAGGTCGACACTGATCACTCGATCATTTTATAAATTCTCAATAACTACTAATTGTGTGAAAGTGTAATCTTCATAGAGAATGTTGATGGAGATCACTATTTCTTAAGCCTGATCGCACTGAAACAGTTCAGTTCAGTCACAGTTCAGTTTTTAAGTGTGGATCGTAGTGGATATTTCAATTCTATCAAATCCTTTTTAAGAACACAAGAAATTTTATTTTGCCAATGCCAGTGGCTATGAACTGTCAGTAAAAGTGGGTAAGATTTCATAAACCAGAAAATTGATTACAAATTAAAGTTTTTATTATTTGGGTGTGGCCCAAATAGAGTAATTGAAACGGCTTGTTCTGAAGCAAAAGTGCAATAGGCACGCAACACGTGCGAACGTGTAAACAAGGAAGTAAACAAGCGAAGCGAGGGTAATGTCTGCCATGCGAACGTTAATCAACACTACATATTCTCCTTTATTGTTTTCATAAAGTAAACCAAAATCCATAAAAGGTGTCTTCGGAATCCCACGCAAAATGTAGACTCTTCTCCAATTTGAACTTGAATTTGAATCACCATATTGACACATGCAGACTTTAAAATTAGAATACGCTCCCACGAAAAACCTGAAAACTTAGACAGTACGTGATCAAAACATGTTCGTTCGGCGCCAAAAACGTTGTCAATTTCACGACAGAGACTAACCGACAACGTTTCATTGGCCAAAACTGACAGGTTGAAATGTGAAACTACGCGCAGAATTCGTCGCGCTTCAAGGATGGCAGTAATCCACTAATATCATTTGATCCGAAATTTTTCAAAGCAGCAGTAACAAGGAGTCTGGATAAAATTTGGCGACGGTGTTTTGAGGAACGTATTGTTGAACTATGTTATCGAGGGTTAAACTTACAAATGCATACACTGTTCGCAGTAGGCCCGCACTAAAACAACACTAAGTGTTTTCATAATGGCTGGTCCGCGAACTCAAAGGAAATTGTCAAGACATTCAAAGACCATGGACTTCATAAGCGCAGTGACAAATCGGAATGTCAGGAGTGTACGAGTAAAATCGATAAGAGTTTGAACAGAAGAATGTGTATCAAGTTTGAGAGTCGCAAGATTAGTGTAGCTGGTAATCAGTGTGACAATAGTAATTTTGATTTTCACAGTGCGGAACACAAGGAGTTGCCTGGGAAAAAAATCTCTTCCGATGAAGGAAGAGAAGATTGTCAACAATTGAAACCAATACTACCCTGCTAGCAGCGTCGCTTCGATCTTTCCTAGATAAGTCGGGAAGATCGAAGGAGACTCTGTTCGCAGGGTAAACCAATACGGACTCAGGCTTGTTTGGGAACTACTGTGATAGCGGTAACAATTCTTCTTATTCTTTCAATTTTGTTTAGCAGAGTGACTGTTGATGTACTTGTTTTTGTATTGCGCGTTGTGTTTTTCAAGTGACGCGGTACATGTACGATGCTCGGCGTCGGGATTTTGCATTATCAGCAAGTTTTGTATTATTACGAGGCAGAGAGTGTTTTGATGTCAGTAAGGTGATGACAAGAAAAGGTAATGAGTCAATTGTGCAGAAGGAAAATTGTTTTGTGGAGGAAATAAAAGAAGCTGAATTGAGATCTTGTCGTGGGAAATTTATTTATAACAGACCTTACAATCCAGTTGGTTTAAATAGGGTTAGTCATTTTTCTCGACGCGGTCGTGCACCTAGCAGACTACCGATGAAGAAATTAAAATCTTTGTTAAAGAAAACACGGAAAGCGAGACTTTTTGTATGGAAGGGAATTCTGAAAAATACACTATTGTCGTCTAAAATTCATTGTTACGTTAAAAAGAGAAATGGTTTATACTTACACCGGTACAGAAGTAACCGTAAGAGTGTGAGGTTTTTACTAAGGGCAAGTCCAAAATTAGTTCGAAAATAAGGGAAGGTTTATCTGTCGTCCAAGCATAAAAGAAGAGGCTATCTAGGTGGGGTGAGGTATCACAATATGGTTTTAAGTAAGTATTTGTCCCTCTGTGCATGCAAGTATCCATTTTATAGTGCTTACAAGAGTTTGATTCACCAGGTGAATTTTGGCCAATTTAAGCTTTCTACTGATATCGAGAAGAATCCAGAACCTTCAGGTTATGTAGATGCTACAAAAACGATTCATGCTCCATACTGTCAAGGAAACGTTGTAGTATTTGGGGGAAATGCGAGACAACAATGTGTTGCAATGAGTTTGTGCGCTTTAATTTACAGTAAAATAAGAAGGATTACCTCAGTCCATGATATGATTCAAATAATGACTCTTGGTAACCAATTATATTCTAGTCATTTCTTGCAAGACAATCTATGTTAATGTTAACAGAATTGCCCGAAATGCGTACAGTGTTTACACAGGTATAGATCATTTGAGTATTGTGAGATGGAACCTCTTAAAAAGAAACATTTAGTTACAAGGAGGAAAGAAAGCAGGCAGATCGGGGTATAGATTTTTCCATTGAACAGTATAAAACTAAAATACGAAAAGGTCCCTGTTATATATGTTGTGTTTGCAATCGATTACTTTACAAGAGACCAGTTCACATTTTTGGCAAAAGTAAATATTTGTCTGGAAATTTTTTCAGTGTGCAGTCTTCATTTGATGGAAAACAGTATGTTTGTAAAACATGTCAGTTATAATAAACTTAACTTGTACGACAGTCGGAAGCTGATGGTTTCCAACTCAACGAGTCTAAATGTAAAGAATTTAGAATATCATTCTCTAGATCAGGAAGTTCTGTGGACCATATCACTTTCAATGATAAGCAAATCGAAGTTGTCTCGTCCGCAAAGCTGCAACGAGTGGTAGTTTCAGACAACCTCAGGTGGAACGCGCATGTAGAATCTATATGCAAAAAGGCTGCGACGCGCCTGTACTTCCTAAAACAGCTAAGCGCGCTAAAGTTCCACCCAAGGATATGCTACTTTTCTATACAACATTTTTACGCTCTGTATTAGAATAAGTGTGCCCAGTTTTTCATGATTCTTTGCCGCAATATCTGTCTAATGAAATGGAAAGGTTGCAAAAGCGCACGTTGGGGATAATACAACCCGACTTATCCTATCCTGAGGCTCTAGTAGCTCTAGACATCACGTCACTCTACGAGAGGAGGAAGGCCTTGAGTAATGCTCTATTTGACCAAATTGTAAGGGACCAAAGCCGCAAGCTCCATGATCCGCTGTCGCCACGCAACGGGTCTACTTATTGCACCCGTAGCCAGAGATACTTCAAACTACCGATTTGTAAGACAAATAGGTTTAAAAACACTTTTATTATGGCGAACAGTTTTAGTTATTAGTAGTAATCTTAATTATTAGTATTTTGGTGTTGATACTTCTCCTTTTGTATTTTATTGTAGGTTATATTTTACGGTTTTTATAGTAGTTATCATATATTTATAGATAATTTTTAGTTCCATTGTAGGGTAAGTTACATTTCAGCCGGCCCGGGGGCTGCAATGATTTTACTTCTTAATAAAGCTATCATATCTCATAATACAGACATTTTCTATCAACACCTCAGTGCCACTATTAACAGTTTGACTCCATTACCAACATCCAATAAAAACAACTCAATGTAGAAACCCAGCAACTACCTCACAAACTACACCCATGATCTTAGCAATCAACCTCCAATATAACTCCAAGCCTACTACTTCACACATCTCAACTAACCCCTCAAATATACAATACCACTGCACTACCCACATATCCCTCATTCACTTAAGAAACTTCACATACGCTTAGTTCAACCAAGCCCAAATATACGCTCCCATAGCGTCTTGTTTGGTTATGTTTTATATAACGCGCGTCCTTGAAACCAGGGCCTGCGTTTCATGCTAAGGATTAACTAGTTATGAATGTAAGGCCTTTTATATTCAGTAAACGAAATTCAACAGAGAGTTCAGAACTCAGTAGCTAGTCTTGCGTTCAACAGGAGTAAACTGATATCACACCTCTACTAGTTATCTGTAAAGTATCGTATTTTGTAGCTAACGTTTCCGGGACACCTGGGACCTCAACAGCGCAAACCTTCACCCGTTCGAGAGGAGAGACTTCTAAAAGTTACGATAAAGACGTGAACTGACAAAAAGTAAGCCTAACCGTTGGCAACCAATGTAGTGAACCCTATTCCCTATCAATGCTGCGTTGTGCCCAAGCGCATTTTGGGATTTTATTCGGTAGTCAGGGCGCACGAAGTTTTCAATCCGAAGTTTTCCCATGATCCTTGCGCCGCGACTACCGTCAAAAATCCCAAGAGGCGCCTGGTAACGAAGCAGCTATTGATCCCATCCAGATGGTTACCTAACCGAACTATTTGTCCTTCCCTAGTCAAAAATCGCACGTGCATTGATTCATTTTCCTTCCTTCATGATTTTTATTGAACTAAAATCATAGCAGAAAAATCCAAGCCGGTTACAAAGCTGCTGAGTAGTACTTTTATACTTTTTTGTAGACCAGCAATCGACAGGTTTTATAGCCCCGCCCACGAGGAAGTTTGTCGCCATAGTAATAAGCCTCCTTGTTTGTGTGCAGTGTCCATTTTCCTTCTTTTTCCAGACTTTCACATTTCGCCTTGTAACCGTCTTCCTCTCTGTCAAACACTGGACAGGTGAAGCACATGATACCACCTGTAACGAGCAGAAAAAAGACAATTCAATTAAAATTCACGGAATAAGCAAGACAAACTTAAAGCAAGGGGCACACATACGCTAACCCAAACCCAAGGCCTGGCCAGTACCTCACGCATGCGCACCACCATCTCACCAGGGCAGTGGCAGCCATGGACAGCTGTTTCGCTCTCATTGGGACTCATAAGCGTGGCATAGCCGTCGACAGTTCCCATGTGTGTTGTGTGGAGTAGGCGCTTAGAGAAGTGCTTTGCACTCTCCTCAGCAGTAAAGGGCCTCTGAAGACGACTTTATCCGTACAGATGTCCGACGGCTATGCTATACTGATGAGCCTCAATTAGGGCGAAACAGCTGTCCATGGCTAGTCACGCCCCAAGCTGAAACTGCAAAAATAGGACTTTTAATTTGCGGATTAGTTAATCTCATTCACTCTCCTAATATTTGTTCGCTGATTTTTTCTTCTTATTAAGAGCATCTTACTCAAAACCTCTTAGGCTGCAAAACAGTCAGTTATTTTTTTTTTCAAAATTGGTTTGGCGTAGCGTAAGAATAGCCTTAGAGCCGCGAGAGCCTAGCCTGTACAGCAGGCGTTTTTCAACGGAAACTCAGAGTTACATTGATCGCGGCCGCCATCTTGAAAAGCCAAGGAAAAGACTGAGGGAGGAGGGGCGGGAAAGGGGGGAAGGGGAGAAGGGGCGGGGAGGAGAGAGGATTAAATATTTTTTGTATTTTTTCCTCCCCTCCCCCACCTCTATTTTATACCCATCAACCTCTCTCTTGATATCAGCTTTTGACTCATCCCAACTCTCTGGTAGTATTAACCTCCAAGATGGCGGGAAAGCGTCATTTCTGAAAAAAAAAGTCATGGATCGCGCTGCAAAATACGCCTGCTTTGCAGGCTACGCAAGCCGCGCGAGCCTCACACGCCCACGCCCATGGGCGTCCAGTCTTGCTCTCTGTTTTCAGCCTCGCTCATGATCCTTCGTTTGACTGTTCGCGCGTACGTGAATAGGCAAAAATACGGATTGTTTTGCAGCCGAAGAACTCTCAATTCAAATTATGGCTAAGAATGTGGTGAGATCTTGTGAGAGCGCTAGTAACATTCACGGTTTGACGTGTGGAGAAGACCTCAAAGAGGCCTAAGCACGAGGAATCAAGGGCTAGAATCAAGTTATAGATTCCCGGTCTCTGCTGTTTTTCTGCCCAAGAGAGAAGCCAGTACAGCCTTAGCCTGTCCGCTAACTAACCTGGCTTAATCCAGCGTATGATTTCATCAAAAGCACTGGGCCTCACAAGCTCAGTTGTAATCACGCCAGAGGAGATAACAGCGTCATATTCACCATCTTGTATGTCTTCTATTTTGTCAGTAGTCACAAAAGCGCTGATAAGAGTCTTGTAGATGTTCCGGTCTCTCGCGATATTTAGCATGTCTTCAGACACATCCAGTCCAATCAGATTGTCATATCCGTACTTTTCCTTCAGAACTTGACCTGATAGTCCTGTCCCACAACCCAAATCCAATACTTTGAGGTCTTTCTTGCTTTCACCATAGAGGTCTTTAGCCGCATTGAAAAAGCCTTCGCCACATGATGAATGAGCGAGGCAACCTGGGGAGCCTGGAGCGGAACCTTCAAAGACCCACTAAAAAGAAAAAACAAGAATGAAGGTAAAACTAAATTTGTTTCACTCTTCAGCACGGTTTGCTCGTTGTGTTACCTGTCGTATAGCACAGTCAAAATATACGTTTTGCCTAGTGCGTCGAGAAAAGACAAAATAGCGTCATACCGATGACCCAGGAGGCATTACGGGTGCTCTTCATTGCCGATAAAAATCTTGAAAAAAAAACCTTTTTAGGAGTTATTAGACTTATATTCACCAAAAAAAAACTAGGGGAAAAAATTCGATCACGTAGTGAGCGTACAAAAACCCTACATCTTTAAAAGAATCCACATGGAAATGCCCAATTTCAAAACAATCGTTAAGATGAATCAAAGTTTATGTCAAAACTGTGGCAAAACTGGACTATGGAAATGCTCGCAACACATTCAAAAATCGACAAAGATGAGGACACCATACGGGCAGACAACACAAGTCAACTTCAACTGGCAACAGTTAAGATGCAGGAGAGAAGTCTGACATGTTTCGTACTCAGGAACTAATGGTTTAAGTCGGTAATAAGCTTAATATGCATGACTGAATCTTGGGTATAAAATACAAATTGTTTGACCATCCGCTTACACTGATGTTCTCACACCACAAAGAAATAGAATACTCCCTAAAGATAAGAGAGGAACTATGAGCGAAAATCTTAAAATATATGTTTTCTCATGAAGGTAAAAAGTGTTAATCTCAAGAAGCTCATATCAATCTGCACTGAAATTCATGTCTGATTGAACACTTTCGTACTAAAACAATAAACGAATCAAAACTATTGGTAATAGATAAACATATAGTAAGAATCTTTAAGAATATAACTGTCAAGTACATGTATGATTGACTGTGCCGGTTACAGAATTCTTCAAGCGTTGAGTACTATTACAAGCAGAGCTCTCGTGATTATAAACAGTATCTGCATCAAGTATTGACCGTATACATCTATGATATATTGTGGTTACAAAACTCCTTAACATTATAATAACTGATCGAATTCAATGGTATTACATACAAACATATAGTTAATAGTATATCAAGAAAAGATAAATTTCTATTTTAAAGCTGGTTCACTCAGACAATGATACCTTGTCCCATAATTCCATTATAATAAATTGTCAATGAAATTGGAAAACAACAGCAGTACTGCTTTATTCATTCTTTACACAGCTATGCAGCTACATCTTAAAGATCGCACTGCACAGCTCACCACTATGATAAGAAACAAACGCAAATGAATTAGGTGATCACAAAAAATTAAGTTACAAAAAAGCCGTAATAAAATACCGTAAATCCTCTTTCAGAGTGATTTTACTAGAACCGTGAAATAGGTGGTAGAATACTACACTACGTTATGCACTAATTCTATTGTCTTCTATTTTAGTTACCTGTCGCTATTTTGCACTATTTGTTAGCATCTGTTTCATGGTTCAAGAAAAACACTCTAAGCCCCCCTCTCAAATATGCCCCCCTCTCTAATAGGCTTTTCCCGCTTTTTTAGGAGTAGAAAGTTATTAAACTCCCTCCCCTTCCCCCGTATTCTTAAACGAAAGACTGTAGTAATTAATCACCACTGTGACTGATCCGGCATGTGGCTTTTTTCGAATTCTTTTTGTTGTTGTTGTTCGCGAGCATGAAGTCCAACCTCATGTGTCTGAGCTTATTTACTTTGCGTTCTATTTCTTTATGGAGAATTAATGCCATCATCTTCGCTAAATTAAAGAAGCCCCCTCTCTATTAAGCCCCCCTCCCCCTCCCACCCCCTTAGAAGGTGCTTGAAAAAAAGCCCACAGTAGAGGATTTACGGTATAATATTCAGAGAAACGAAACAAAATGTACGTAATATCCCAGCAACAGTTTCGAAATGAGTAACATCTACGTCTTGACCTACAAATGCAAAAAGTGTAACAGATGTCTGAGGAGAATGTGAAAAGGCCGGAAAAAAGAAAGTTTTGCAGTGGGCAAAATCAAGGCAAGCAAAAAAAAAAAAAAAAAAGAAAAGAGTCTATAACTAGAGTTGGCCACTCGAGGAATGATCTTGTTGATTTTTTTGGGAGGGGTTTGGGAAGTAAAAAAATACATATCATACAGCAAATATAAAAAGAGACCTGGAACAAAAACGAAATACTTGCATGGAGTTATACTACTTTAACCCAGACGATCATACAAATTCAGATGACATCATATCCATCTCTTGGAATAGTAGCGGATTATACAGTCAGCGTCAAAAGAGTATGATCATTTAACAGTGGCGGATCTAGACCTTCAGATAAGGGGGTGGGGAGGGAGGTCATCCAGACCCTGAGATAAGGGGGGCCCCGGTCTCAAAAAAAGTTTTTATCGGCCCTTTGGGCCTCAGTTTGGTCTAAAAGTAGGGGGGCCGGCCCTCCGGACCCCCCTAGATCCGCCACTGCATAAGCACACTTTTCAAAATTTTTCGACCACTGCTTCACGGCGCAGCTCAGTGTAGACCTGTCACAGCCATCTTATAGGACTATTCATCATGACTAAGCAGTTAACAAGGAAATTGAGCATGTGTGACTAGGCCTAGGATCCCTGTGCTGGTTGCAATATTATTGTTACATTCAAGATGAGTGAAATAACTTATATACGACAGAGAAAAGTTTTATAGCGTACCAGGAGCCTATGACCCTGAGCGTACCCAATCCCATTTTGATCACCTCTGGGGCTCCTTTGGGTGCCGGCCCACCATGTATAGCTTCCATATGTCCCTTCCCTTCTTCGGCCTGAAATCCCGGAAGTAAACTATTTTAGTAGATATAGTTCCCGAAAAAAGTTGGACTAACCAGAAACCACAGTATAGTTGGTGATGGAGAGTATAGTGTTCTGTACACCCGGTCAGTCTTCAGTTATCACAACCTGTCTAAGTTCGCAAACGTTTCGTATAATTGAATGCTTATTTACACCCCAAAACAGTACCTTATCATAGCACACAGACCATACTTTATAAGCCTTCTGGATTGTCTCTTTGGAAGTAGTGTTCCAGTTGAGGTCAAGGATTTCCTGGGGATAGAAACACGCTGCGTCTCCATTTTCTGCCATGTCTTCTGCAGCCACAAAACAAATACCAGTTCAACTTACTAACCGTTTTTGAACTGTAACAGGTGTCGGTAAAGGTACAATAAAACGATGAACAAAAACGTGCAAATTGTTTTGCAACATCGCTGCAATTTGAGTTGAATAGCGATTTTCGCATTTTACCTGCCACGAATTAAACCTGTCTCGCTACTAATTAGATTGTTGCAGATTGTAAAAACGTTTTCACAGAAACTTAAGAGAAGTGCTATTTTCTGCAGCAAAATCTGTACATGTTACGCGTTTTACCGGCCCAAGGCAAACTGTAGTTTTGAAGCAAGTGACGAAAATGTTGTTTATGCCAAGACTCCCGTGGAATTCTAACCAATTGGAACTCAGTATTCGCGCAACTTGCAACAACCGGCTGATTTGTTGCAAGACAGATTTTGAACGTGGGTAGTAAAACGCGTAATATTGCTTTAATTTCAACTCGTTTCGCAGCAATGTTGCAAAACAAGTTGCACGTTTTTGTTGCCCGTTTTACCATAGCTTAAGATTTGTTTGCACTAGTGACGTCTGCTTAGCCCTAAGAGAAAGGATAGTACACGAGAACGGCAAAAAAGCAATAGGTTTAGATTGGCAAAACCGACTGCGCACGTGCATCTCGCTTTTTTGTACATTTCTTTGCCGTCACTGCACGACTACGACGTGAAAATGCCCGCCCGCTGGAGGACGTGAACAAGACAACGACCCTTTTTTTCTTTTCCTGGACTTCGATACAGTCTTTAAGAACTCAACTCCTGAAAAAATCTGTCAACATTTGACGCATAGAAAGAGATAAAATAAGCGCGATTAAGTTTGAAGCAGCGCGACTTCAATTTTAAAGTGAGGTTTTCGTGGCCGTCGCCGTTGCCGTCACCGTCGATGTTGCTAGCTCCCTAATAAGCCAATAGAAGTACAGAAGACGGTTTCAGGCAACAAATAAAGGGTAAACTTCCAGCTCTCCGCGCGCGAAAGGCCGTGCCTTTTTCAGACTAGAGGTATATAAGGGGCTGTTTACATGAAGGGAACCAGGAAGATCCTAGAGGGCGGATCATCCTAGCGCCATATGTTTTCTGTATTCAGTTTACATGCAAAGGGTTGTACTTGTCCCTAGCGCTAGGATCTTCCTAGTACTAGGATCTTCCTAGCTGAGAGGTAAGAAGATCCTAGCACCATGTAACTGCTTTCGCTAGGAAGATCCTAGTACTAGGGACAAACGCGACAAAAATGTCGGCTGGTCGTTCAGTGGCTAATTACGGCAATAAAGGCCGACCATTTCGTTTAGAGTAATCCACGAGCAGATTATTGTGTTAATATTCAGCTGAAAGGTAGTGATTTACGCCAGTAAAGAGAGTAGAAGGACCCAAATTACTTTTTTTAATTTTGTCGTCCGCCATTTTTTATTCCTTCTCTAACCTTCTCCACTTGAACAACTCACGGGCCGAAATTTCTGCATGTAAACCCAACGTAAACTTATTCCACCTTCTAGGATCTTCCTCCCTGCATGTAAACAGCCCCTAAAATGGCAGGGAATTCACGAGTTGTTAAGTAAGATGAAAAGGGTAGAAAGTTCTATCATTTAAAGACAGTCAACCCCGTTAATACGCACAATGGGGATACCGAGCTAGGGGGGACATAGAAAGTGTCCGTATTAAGCGAATTGAATTTATAGAAAATGTAATGGCTTTCTGTCCAAAGGGACAAAGCAAACTGTTTGTAATTATCAGGTGTCCGGTACTTAAGCGAGAGTCTCTAAAGCAGAGTTTGGAAAAGACGCGCGTTATGGTTCTATCATTTTAATTCATGAACGTTACACGTCTTACACGAAAATGGCAAAAGGACTTCCTCTTTTAGCGATTTATTCTTATTACGTAGTTGTGTTAAGGGATCCCACTATGTAGTGATCCGGAACAAAGAGTCTACAGAGAATCGCAGGTTATCTGCTCTTTGATTTTTTTGTGTCTCCAAGTAAGAAAAGATGGAATGTGTATCATATATATATTTTGCGACATGAATGTTTACAGGTGATGCAACTATGTTTTGATTGCGGCGAAATGTACTAGGAAAGATGCAACTGATACTTATATGTTAGAAATACAGTTAAACCACCATTTAAGACTACCTCTGGTAAGCGACTACCCGGCCAAACACAAAACCTTTTATTCCCAGTCAAATCACTACAGTTCAAGAGAGGATAAAGGGGACAGAGAAGGCATCCCCCATACACACTCTATTCCATAACTCGAGGCAAAAATAACTCGAGGCGAATTACCTATGGAATAGGGTGTGTATGGGGGATGCCTTCTCTGTCCCCTTTATCCTCTCTTGCTACAGTTGGAATCTCTCGTAAACGACCCGGGTTGGGTGGGGGACTCGGCATATGAAAGGGGTGGGGATGCTAGTCGTCTCGCTTAGGGGTGTAAATTTCGGATTTTGGTCTCACTAAGGCCCAGTTCAGACGTCGTGCTTCTGCCGTGCCGAACTTAATTGTAATTTGGTTCGACTGTAACACGGCAGGAAAACAACTTTGATTCAGACGTCGTGCCAGAGTTGAACCAAATTCAGGATTTACTGATGCCTCGTAACAATTCTTCTCCCAACTCCCCGTGGGAACGCAATCTCGCCAAAATACACTAATATAATTTATGAATTTTGTTTAGCGCGGCAGAAGCACGACGTTTGAATCGCTGCCGTGCTAGAGCCGCGTAGCACAGCAGCACTTGTCGAACTTAATTGCTTTCCGAACTTAATTCAAAAGCTTGATTCAGACGCCGTGCTTCTGTCGTGCTTTTGTCGAACTTAATTCCTGAATTTAGTTCGGCACGGCAGAAGCACGACGTCTGAACTGGGCCTAAGGGTGTTCTGGGGAAAACGCCATCATATTTAGCCGTGAAGGTCTCGTTTAGGGTTGCACGGTTTTGGTCTCTTTTAGGGGTCAAAAAAAGCTTGGGCCAAGCCCAGATCGGTCTCCTTTGGGGGTTTAATCCAAAATTTCCGACAAGCATCCCCACCCCTTTCATATGTGAAGTCCCCCCCGGGTAAACGACCACCCCTGTAAGCGACCGCGACCACTTTTTAAATGACGGCTCTCTTCTACACTTAAAGAATTCATCGACATCAATTCGCGTACAATTTCGATGATCTACACTCAATCTTCACACTCGATCAGCAGCTCCACGACTCCGAAGGACTACTTAGTTCCTCTTGTACAAAGTTCAGTTCTCAGATCACATGACGAGTTTTCCCGCCAAAATGACGCAATAATTTCCTTTCACTGAACCTTGTCATTTTGGGTGGCCGCTAGCGGGATATTTAAATGTATTTTTACGCCGTTTTAGCGCCTACCAGTACGTGTACGTCACGACTGAAGGGCAGGAGAACACAACAGGTGGTTCTCACCAGATTTCTTTACATATTCCTGAGGAGTGGAGAAGTGAATATTTGATTTAAAGCAATTACTTAACAATTAATGAATGAGGCTGAGTATCTTATCAGGGGCACCCAACGTGAATTTTCGGAAAATATCTGTTCGGAAGACTATTTGAGGTCTAGAATTTTCGGAACATTTTGTGTGAAATTTCTTGCTTGTCTGCCTCTCCTAGGATTTTCGAACATCTAAAAAATGGTATAATTGCCCATTTTTAACGGATTTTCAACTTTAAAAAGGTCACGTAGAATTTTCAAGAGCCTTTTTTCTGGCTGGAATTTTCGAAAAGGTAAGGTTTGATTCCTATAATTTTCGGATCACTAAACTTTCAGCTAGGAAATCCGAACAGATGAACTGATTTTTAGGGGATAAAAATATGCCCATATCTACCGATTAAATACTAAAATACGTTTAACAATGCTATGTTTAAGTGGTTTTGAACTATATTCTCGTTGGGTGCCCCTGTCTTATGAAGAACTATGGAGATATCTCCCCCGGGATCTCCCCTTCTCCAACCCCCTCAACGTCAAACCCCTCCATCTCTTACGGCATGATTACGTAGAGGGGCTCCTTTCTCGGCGAAAGCGCCCCCGACAATTAACGGGCTTGGAAATCTGTTATTGTGATATATAGTCAAGATCTTGGCATATAATTATATCAGTAAGAACTGTTAAATGACAAAAACCGTGATCTCATGCAGCAAAATGTTCCACTAAAACTGGGATATTCCTAAAAAATAGGGTCCACTTAAACGCTAATTTCGTTAAAAAAATAAAAATAAAAAACATTTACCACGATCATTATTCCTTATTATCGTCGAATAATAGCTGTACGTTTTCTCGAAGTTTCGTGGCCATCGAAAAAGTTATGAAATAAAGTTCGTTATAGTTGAATGCACCTGTACTGTGAAAAACAACAGCATGCGACAGAGCCACACTGATGGGCTCCTGACACTGTAAAATGCATTAGCATAACTATGGGCTTCTAGCATAACTGATGTATTGGATTCGGTTCTTGAAATTGTTCAAACTGTTCGTCGGCGAAACGGTCGAACTTCCAACCACGTAGACCGCTCGAACTCAATTCTTGGGTTTGGCCCAAATCAGGCCAGGAGGTTTGATTATAGCAACAACCCTTGCAATAAAGTCAGTTCGAGTCAGTGCTTCACCCTTATCACTTGCATGGGTCAATTAACTATGCCCTAATCAGTTTTCTAAATCAACATATCATAGTTTGGATTGGCTGGGATTCTTTAACCTGTCACTGAGACAGAATAAAAATATCGGACTGTCCATCATTTTAATTTAGTGTTTTGAACACCTTGACCGGTTTTCGGCCATCCTAAAAACTAACCATAGAAAATACAAAGGAGGCACAGATGCACAAACTGGAAAATTAAAGCGGATGGTCAGAGATAATTTGTGGTTTTTTGAACACTTGTTAGTCTTAACATTCTTCAAAATAAAATTTTTATTGTATAAAAACATGTATAAACTTTGATATATTGGCCGTTTTCACTCAGAGACGGACTTCAAAAATCGTCAAATTTGACGGAAAATCAGATGGATGAAGCCAGGCGGAATGTTAATCCAAAATTAAGACTTATTATCTTTCTGACGCGAATTATTCAATAGATAACCCGTCTCTGACGGATAATCCATGAAGCAGGCCATTAATGCTTGGAAAAACGTCATTGTTCTACACTAAGCTGTAATTTGTGTGATTTATTTGCCAATGTTAATTAAGGTCCATTAGTCGGGGGACATATGACGGCAAAGAAATCGCAAGTAGCGTTTAACCCCACAAAACAATATTCTTGATAGGCGACGATTTCGTTGAAAAACCGACCGCGATTTGATGGAAAGCCCCTCGACAAAAACGACGTCATGGCGGTTCCAGTTTTCTTCATAACAATACTAGCGACTTGAATGCAAATCTTTCACCAAACGTTCAAACGAAATGTTAACTGGATCATGTGTCGTGTTTTTTTGCCTTCTCGAGCAGAACGAGGTATTACTTTATTAGCCTGTGTACAGCCGCGCCCTTTCCCCATCAGTAAGATTTTTAACTCAGGGGGAGGGAGCAGCTGTACGCAGGCTATCGCTCTGTGAGATTGGAGAGTCTTTAGCCGGCATTCTAATCAGCCAAACAATTTCCACGTGCATGTAATCTTCGTTACACGTGATAATATGATAACTCTGATGCGTGAAAAGAGCACGAGGCTCGACGGATTACGCGGGATTACGCCGGCCCGTACCCGTATGAATCAGTCATCTACAATCAAGTTATTGACATTAATACGCTGAAAGTAATTCTTAGCTGGTGGTTTAATGCTTCTAATTCCTAATTATGCTAGACTAAAATGTCTTATTTTCCTCCCGTACATCACTTAATTAACATGAACATTCATTCACTGCTTTGAATATTCAAACACGTCAGAGAGGGCGCACTAAAAGGTCAGCATATAATCTTACCAGACACGCGTGCGGAAAAAAAAAACAGGATCAACTGGTTGGTTCGTCTACGGCTATAAACTGGTTAGGCTGAGTTGCAAACTGGTATATAAAGGTTAAACTGGTTAGTTTGGTCCACGGTCCGCAAGATCAAACAGAGTTCTTGCTCAGAGCAGAGTCTACTTTCTCACGCCAATAGCAAACGAAAATAAACTCTGCTTTCAAGGAATTTGAAGAAGCACCAAAAGCTTGATTATCTTTAAAAGGGATACAAAATAAGGCTTCTAGTCTTGAACAAGAGGAAGGATAGAGAGACTTATGACCTTGTGGTCTTACGGTATCTGACGAAAATTCTCATTGAGTTCAAATACTTTCCAACTTTATACCCATTTTAACCTGAAGTCTTCATGATATTACTATCGTAAGACAACACGCTTACCAGAAACTTCAAACATTTACCGAGATAGAACGCTACAGGACTACCTGCAGCTGCAAAATGAAGGCGTGTTTTGAGCAGGAACATTTAAAGAGGAATAATCGGTACTACGTATGTCGCTTATATGAGGGTTAGCAGAAAAAAATGTTTGTTCAAAAATATCAAAAGCTAACGAAAGAAATTGGTTTAAATGTTGCCTGTGATGAAGTTCTTCCTTTCCTAAGTGCCGAAACGAATTCACTCTTAACTGAACTCTGCGGTTAAATGTAATCGACTAATATTTGTTGTTTACTCTTCATTTTTAGCCCGGGGAGGGCACTCCCTTGTTAGGCCTATGCGAGTATGTGCCGCTGAGCAAGGTATGGTTTTCAAGCCTGGAGGGGCACTCCCTTATTTGGCCTATGAGGGTATGTGCCGCTGAACAGGCTATGATTTTCAAGGTCTTAGTCTTAAACAGGGTATACAATTTCACTATTAATCGTCTTGAACAGGGTGTCTTTTTGGACAAGCCTTTCAAAGAGTGTGAACACTTGCGATGAGCGGCCTACATTTGCAATACAGATATTTTTTTTCTTAAATATCTATTTCCACGATTTTAGTGAGAAAAATTACTTAGTTCTGTCAGTGCAAAACAAAGCTAATCAGAGTCGGAAAGTAGTGTCTTCTGTCTCTTAAACACGGGAAGCGAAATGAGAAGTTTTTGTCTTAAACAGGGTCGGGGTTTGCGGGCATCGGCGGCACACCGCTACACAAACTTCCTTTGAGCGCCCCTCCCCATCCCCCCTCCCGCGGGATTTTTAGCCTTGCATGCTTATGTTCGATCGATCGATCAGGTCCTCGTCACGCGTTCTTCAAATGAAAGTAATTTTACTGACAATAAGATGAGAAATACTGTATGCTCAAACATGGCAAAGGCAACTGCCACTGAAGGAATATGGATGCAGTCATATGTAACAAACTTTGTCTAGAGTAACTTTTCTGTTGTGTGAGTGTGCAAGATTAAAGTGTGTCCACTGAAAAATTCAACCGCTCGGGTGAATTAGAGGAAAAGGTCTCTTAAAATTTGGAGGAGGGTGGTTGGATCTTGTTTACTGTGGGTAATGTCGACTGAGATATCGGTCGACATAGCGGTCGACATAGCGGTCGATATAGCGGTCGACAGTCGGTCGATAGTCGGTCGATAGTCGGTTGATAGTCGGTCGACAGTCGGTTGATAGTCGGTCGATAGTCGGTCGATGGTTGGTCGATAGTCGGTCGATAGTCGGTCGATAATCGGTCGATAGTCGGTCGATAGTGAGATAGACTATCGGCCGAGTATCGGTCGATATTTTGACGACGCACTTCGACTTACTATCGGTCATATGTCGGTGATATATCGGTCAACTATCGGTGGTATATCAGTCAACTGTCGGTGGTATATCGGTGAACTGTCGGTGGTATATCGGCCTGTCGTTCGAATATCAGTCGTGTGTTAATTTATCAGGTGAGTCCAATGGCTTTTTTTTTAAGCAAAGACGTCATTAATTACTGTTATCATGCGATGGGGGAACATGTGGCAGTGCGAGGCGCGATTACTCTATGAAGCGAACCGAAGAGCACTGGGAACTAAGGACATGATAACCTTTTTTTTTTCCAGTTTGTATCATCACCGATCGTCTGAGTTTTAGCTGTTAAACAGAACCTGTCTCAGCCTAAGTTGAATCTGCTGCTCCTGTGGTCCCGCAGTCGAAGAATACTTAATAAGGACGAGTGAAATGACTGCTCCCGCAGTCCCGAAGTGGACGAACAATGAATAGGAAAAGGCAGTTGATGACATGCTTTAAGAGCGAGGAACCGCACATCTTTTATTATCGGGCTTTGACCTGCTTCATCACGCCAAGTTCTCGTTTGTGCAGAGACCACAAATTAAACCTATATATTTCTGCATTGAAGACGGGAACAGTCCTTTGTTTAACGATCACTTATTGATAAAACGCGCTGATAATGCGCCGAGGAAGGTGACAAAAATCGATACAGATAGGCTAAATCCCGTCCACATGAATTAAAAGAAAAGGCTAGATAAATGACTAATAGCTATTATTCCGGAATTTTGGCTAAGTACATTGAAGTTTGAAATTAAAAAAGCAGAAACACAATTTAAAAAAATAGTTAGGTCCAAGCTAGAAAATGCTTTCTAATTTCTTGTTTTCCAAGCCAAAAAATGTAGGAAATGCTAAGTGTCGACCGACTATCAACCGAGTGTCGACCAATTACTATCGACCAACTATCGGCCAACTATCGGCGAAGTGTCGGCGAAATGTCGGCGAAGTGTCGGTGAACGAAAAGCTATATCGGCCGAGACACATCTGGAACGACTATCGACCGTGTCTCGACCGAGTGTCGACCCACTATCGACCGACTATCGACCGACTATCGACCGACTATCGACCGCTATGTCGACCGAGTGTCGACCGAGTATCGACCGAGTGTCGACCGAGTATCGACGGACTGTCGACCGAGTGTCGACCGACTATCGACCGAGTGTCGACCGAGTATCGACCGACTGTCGACCGAGTATCGACCGTTATATCGACCGATATCTCGGTCGACATTACCCACAGTAAACAAGATCCGGGTGGTTTGGTAGCCCATTAAAATTCATAATTGGCTCCGAGGCTTGGGGAATAAGGCAAAAAATTGTGTTATTCACTGCTCAGCCTCAAGATGATTTCATTTTTTTATTATTCCCCAAGCGTCGCAGCCAAATATGCATTTTAATATATCGGAATTGGTCTATTTGCTAAACTACTTCTTAAAAACGCATTAATAAGGTATCTCAATCGATTGATACCGGCCCGCATCCAATTTCTGTTCAGTCTCTTTAGGTCCAATCGACCTTTCCAAGGGTTCTTCAACTTTTGACGTGGACAAGTCAGGGAAAATCCGTCAACTCTGCTGGAATTGGAAAGAGTTCCTTTAAATTCGCAAAATTGCTAAGTTTTTTAAAGCGATTTGTTGAAAATTGACATAGCTCACCAAAATTGCGAAATTTTACAGACGTTCGTTTGGTGGGGGGCACAATAGCTTGCTTAGCAGCCTCTTGGAAGTAGTGGGCGCAAGAAAGGACGGGCGCGCTCGAGGGAGACACGTGAGTCTCCCTCGAGAGCGCCTGTTCTTTCTTGCGCCTACTAGTTCCAAGCGTGTGCTATACAGGTTAGGGGCACAAACTTACTCTCAACAAACGTTTGAAATTTTCGTAACTTCGCCGAGGTATGAGTTCGCTCGCTTAAGACGTATCCCTTTCAAATTTGGCAATTTTATTGATTTTAAGACGCTCTTTCCAACTTTGCCCGGCGGATTTTCTCTATCTAGTCCATATCAGTATAAGAAAAATCGTGAAGGCTCTATTTTACGACAGTTAAAAAATATGACTTGTAATTTATTTAGTTTTCTTTCATAGCTAATAACACAAAGTTTATGGAATTAATCGTGTTTCCTGGGTATGCCAAAATTTGTTACAAAAATGTCTCACAAATATTGCCTTAGCCTGCGTTTTCGTAGTCTGCTACACAGCCGTTTTTAGTGTCGTCACGCAACGCTCCTCCCCACTAACGGCTGCTGAAAACCGAACTACATTCCTTTCCCTTTGTGTTTGTGGTCTAACGAATAAACCAATCATGTACAAGAAATTTGACAATACGTGAGCCGCAGGGCGCTAGGAAGCGAGCACGCTTCTCAGTTTTCGACAAATCAATCAATCGTCGCTGAATTTAGACGGGCTCTGTGTTTTCAAGCAACGAAAAGGTTAATTTGCAAAAAAGTTTGTTTTAAGCGGTCAAGAAAGTTCCAAGTGAAAAGAAGGTTTGATAGGCCTAGAAAACTTTTACCGGGATCGGTTGGTTCTTCATTTAACGTACATATGTGCTGATATGTAGTGAAGAATTTAATGTACTGGATGTGCTCTTTGTGTTCTGTGAAGACGAAACTCTCAAGGGTACTGAGTCAAAAAGCAATCTTATAAATTATCGATGAGCGATTTCTCGAAACTATACCTGGCAACTTTATGAGCACATCCATGTTGTGAATCGCAATTTGCTCGACTTTCTTGCTGTTGCTGCTTATCTCCTAAATTTTGAATAGGACTCGACTACGACAACACTGTAGTTGATTGCTTGTTTTCACGCGACGATTTTGATTATTCTGACGTTCACACATGGGGCACCAATAAAAGCAAAGCTGTGATTGGAGGAGTCACAGTACCGCGAAGGTGGCGCGAACACTTTCCAGAAAATGGGAACTGAATTATAATTGGCTAATCACGGGAAAGGAATGTAGTTCGGTTTTCAGCAGCCGTTAGTGGGGAGGAGCGTTGCGTGACGACACTAAAAACGGCTGTGTAGCAGACTAGCGTTTTCGCAGGCTAATATTGTCTTGCCAAAACAAGACCTTGGTCGTCCTCCGCTCCCCGCTCGTCCCCTCTGCACCCCCCCTCCTCTCTATCTCTCGGCCATTTGATTTAACCAGTCATGTGGAGATCACACGATTTTCTCGGTCTTTGGCCAGCACTTAGCCTCCCCGCAGACGTCCTTTGGGGTTCGTTCGTCACGCATTCATTGTAGAGAAATGAATGCGTGACGAACGAACCCCAAAGGACGTCTGCGGGGAGGCTAGCCAGCACTTAGATCTCGTGAATCCATGTAAGCGACAAATGTACCTATTGGTTTGCGGGTCTTTAATTTCGCGATTGTTTAAAAATCGCGAAATTGAAGACCTGTGAATCATGATAAATCCTCGCGAAATTTAATACTCAAACAGAAAATTCAAATCACAGAAAAATAAATTTTAATATGTAATAGCAACAACATATACAGAATCGACTAATACGCAAATTCTTTCTGTTAAGTTCCTTTCGTATCTTCGGTTGTAAGATTTTACACATTCCTTGTTCCGATTTACCTTATGAAATTCAATTTTGAAAAGTAAAATAAAGTTGAGAACGCTTAAATCGCCAAATCTAAGGCCTTTTTTCATATTTGCCTATTGAAATAAAACCCCGCGAAATACTGTCTCGCAAAAATCGCGAGATCTAACCGATTTTTTGAAAACGAACTTTGCAGCCATTTGAGTGAAATAGAGACAAAAGTCAAGTTTTTTGCACCCGGCGACCACGCAACGCTCCTGTGAGGAACGTTGCGTGACGACAATAAAAACGGCTATGTAGCAGACTACTTAGGAGATGGAGGAGTTTTTGGCCAAAAAATAAGCTGTTTGACAGAAGAGGTCTATTTGGCCGTAAAGAAAGTCAATAGAGGACTTTAGAGACCATCCTTGTGTTCAGAGGATACAACATGAAAATAGGAATTCCACTCAGACCATCGAAATCGAATTGGTTACACAGGGACAAGTCCTTGCAGTTCTCGATTCGCTGAACATAAACAAAGCCACCGGCACTGATGGAATTCCTTCAAAGGCTTTAAAAACAGGTGCTAATGAATTATCCGCTCCACTAACCACCTTGTTCAATTCTTGTATTAACAAGAATGCATGGCCTAGTGAATGGAAGTATGGGCATTGGGCCCCAGTATACAAAAAGGATGACAGGAATGCAAAGGAAAACTACCGGCCCATAACTCTCTTACCATGTGTAAGTAAAGTTCTTGAGAAGTTGGTTGGAGCGCAGATCAACTCTGGCTTTGGTAATCGCATTTACCAACACTCATCCGCTTATCGCAAAGCTCACAGCTGCGAAACAACATTGATCAATTTAGTAGAAGATTGGAGACTGGCGAGGGATCGAAAACAGGTTGTGAGCATACTTTCAACTGACATGTCAAAGGCATTTGACTCGTTACACCCACCACTACTTCTGAACAAGCTTGAAGCGTACGGTTTTCAGGAAAGCGCTATTCAACTTTTAAACAGCTATTTAAATGAACGGAAATATCAAGTAAAGATCGGCCGTCATGTTAGTTCTAGCCGATTCGTGAGTCGTGGTTGTCCTCAGGGCTCCGCGCTTGGCCCGTTGTTATGGAATGTTTTCCAGAATGACCTATCCTACTGCCTAACAGCGAACTTGTCTATGTATGCCGACGACCATCAAATTTACCACGCAGGAGCAGACCAGGCAGCTGTGACTTCCCAGTTAAAGGATAGTGCCAACTTAGCAACAACGTGGTACGATTCTAACTTATTGGCGGGAAACCTCAAAAAGTACCAAGTTTTGAACTTGGGCTTCACTCAAAATGACAGCAATATTTGCGTGAATGATGTTGTGATTGAATCTAAAGATAATATCATACTTCTAGGAGTAGTGTTAGATTCTAAGCTAAATTTCTCTGAGCATGTAATCTCTATCTGTAAAAAAAAAGCCAGCCAGAGAATTGGTGTTCTAATGAGACTACGTAATTTAATTCCTATGAAATCTAAGTTAATATTATTCAAAAGCGCGATATTACCATTCCTCACGTACTGTCACCTAGTGTGGCATTTTTGTAAAGCGAGTGACACTCGAAAGCTTGAAAGACTACAAGAAAGAGGACTTAGAGCGGTTTTCAAGGATAATAATTCTAGTTATGAACAACTATTAGAGAAGGCAGATCTGCCAACACTACTAAATAGTCGCTTACAGGATCTGTGCATCCTTATGTATAAAGTAAAGCATAAACTGTGCCCTGCATATATAAGTAACATCTTTAAAGAACCAAATAGTAATTACAATCTGCGGCAAGCAGATTTCTCTATACCTAGGTATGAGACAGTCACCTATGGCAAGCACTCTATTAGATATTTAGGGCCTAGGCTATGGACAAAACTACCCAAGAGTATCAGGGACGTCACAACCCTAACGTCGTTTAAAAGCAAGATACGCCAACTCAATATAAGTGAACTTTTAGATGATGGCTGCGCAGGCTGTAGCCTTTGTTCATTTTGACTTCTGTGTATTTTTACTATAAATCTCTTAATTAGTTAACTATAGATATTTTACCTACTACTGTATATAGTTTTTTAGTTTGTATATTCTCCCCTAATTGGTGTCCCCAAATTAGTAAGGGATTTGTTCCCTGGCTAGACGGTTTTTTGACACTTTAATAAAGTTTCTATTCTATTCTATTCTATAACGTTTTCAAAAATCCGGCTAGAGATATAGTGGAATTTAAGCACGAACTTTTAATAACAAGCAACAAGTAATGGGCTCTACTTATTAACTTCTATATCGTTTGTTTTATATTCTGAGTACGAAGCTAGAAGCATTAAGAACTTTTTTTGTCAATATAAACTAACTATTTGATCACATAAAAAGAACAAAATGTGTGCTAACTTTTATAACCGAAATAAATGGACATAGGTTTTAAATCTTGTAGCGAACGACACTTTTAAAGAACTATAATTGAAAAAAACGTTTTCTTCAATTCAGTTTCACTTAATTTTGCTAGTTCATAGAATAACATGACTGCACAAAATCCAAACCCGGTGTAGAAAGGTCGAGGATAAGATGACGAAACCACCCACTGCCAACAAAGTGCTTATAACTTTTTGTAGACCAGCATTCGACAGGTTTTATAGCCACGCCCTTTAGGAGCTTTGTCGCCATAGTACTCAGCTTCCTTGTTGGAGACCAGCGTCCATTTTGCCTCCTTCTCCAGACTCTCACATTTCTCCTTGTAACCGCTTTCCTCTTTATCAAACACTGGACAAGTGAAGCACATGATACCACCTGAAAGGAACAAATTCAAGCAGTAAATCCTTAGGCCATGTCTAAACGCTGTACCGTGCTATTCCGACTGTAAATAGCTACGACACAGCAGTGGAACACACATCAAACATCGTGCGAGAGCAGTTGGCCTTGTTTGGTGCGCTACATTACAGTGCCAAAACTTACTTCCGTTTTCCAGTCCGCTCTCCTATTTATTCACTTCCGCTACGATCGAGCCTGCTACACAGCCGTTTTTAGAGTAGTCACGTAGCGTTGCGTGACGACATTAAAAACGGCTGTGTAGCAGACTAGCTACGATCCGAATTGACCACTCCAGAAAATACCATAACATACCGTAACGCTCTTTGTTTGTCACCCCAAAAATTTTGCATAAGCAATGTCTTCAGTTTCCCTTGGGGCCACAAACAATTAAGGAGCATTATGGTATGTTATAGTATTTTCCGGAGTGGTCAATACCTGTTTACACCCAAGTGGGTTTTGAGTAGCATGGATACCTTAAAATCAGGTTGGACACCTTATGTTTATTACGCAACTGTATACTCCTCGTAGATAGCCATTTATGAGTATATGTTTGACAAATTTTTGAGAAAAGTCGGGAAATCAGAGTAAGGGACAGTTGTGCAAGGAAAAGAGTTGAATACAGGGTTTAGCACCGAAGTACAGTTACTAGCGTTAAGCACTCTTTCAAAAAGCGGCTAGCTTTCAATAATGAAATGATCAATGTTATATAACCTGCGTTAACCGATGTCTCCGGTAGTTAGCCCTTAATGGTGTAGTGGACACGGATGTGGATCAAACTTCACATGGTGTGGGTTCAAGTCCTGTGCACTACCTGCTGCTTTCTTCTTACTTTAAGTTTTAAGACTCCTATCATCTATTTTGAGTGAAGATGACAATCTGATTTTGGGGTATCCATCCTAGTCACAGCACAGGTAGCCCAAACTCGAAATTTAAGCATCGGCGAACATCAGCATTGTTGCATAACATTCGAAATATAAGGATTTGTATGGGGAAAAAACCTATCGTTTCCGTAACCTACGAAAATGAAAGGATATCAATAAAAAAACAGCTTACCTTACATAAAATGCGTGTTACGTCTCTCCTGCGTGGTCCATGGGCCGATTTATGGCCGTTTTATGAGCCGTTCTGTAAACGATTTTCTCTCTGTAGATAGATAGGTTTTTTTCCAATACAAATCCTTATATTTCGAATGTTACGCAACAATGCTGATGTTCGCCTATGCTCATATTTCGAGCCTGGGCTACCTGTGGTCACAGCCCACTAAAGTGTGGCACAGAACCTATGCGATACGTGACGCTCTACTATCGAGATCAGCGCGGCGCTGCTCGGCGCTCAGTTCTTATTAGAGAACAGAAACCCCATCCGTTATGGTTTTCGTACAGGCGAAACAACTCAGACGATCCGGCATGGAGTGAAAGTAACCTCACTGACTCTTATACTAATTTATGATTATTCCATCTACCGCCCCAAGTTTTTAGTCAGATAGCGGAAAGCCCCGTATCCTCATAACCGGGAAATACAGGGCATTAGCGAGCGATTTCACGGTTTTACCACGGTATGCGGGGCTCCCCTTTGAGGTCATCTTGATTTGCAGGGCTTTCAATTCTAAAAGAAGTTAATGTCAATTTTTAACAAAATTTCCAAGAAATAAGCCTACGTTTTATGTGAATGCATGTTTAGACGTTGAGTAGCGTGGAATTTAAGATCTATAATAGAAGTCACTGAACTGAAGAAACAAAAACAAAAAAAGCGAAGTCAGTTGCTTATTACATTTTTCCAAAAAGGTCATCTCACTTTTACCTCTAGATTTCTTGATACACAATTTACACAAGAAGTCAAAGTAGTGTCAAATTACCTGGCTTAATCCAGCGAGTGATTTCATCCAAAGCACTGGCTCTCACATGACCAGTTTGGAACACTCCAGAGGAGATAACGGCGTCATATTCACCATCTTGTATCTCTTTTATTCTGTCGGTACCTACAAAGGCACTGATAAGAGTCTTGTAGATGTTCCTCTGTCTAGCGATATTTAACATATCTTCAGACACATCCAGCCCAGTCAGGTTATCATATCCATATTTGTCCTTCAGAACTTGACCAGACAGTCCTGACCCACAGCCAAAATCCATTATTTTGAGGTCTTTCTTGCTTTCGCCATAGAGGTCTTTAGCCGCATTGAAGAAGGCTTCTCCACATGATAAATGGGAGTAACAACCCGGGGTGCCAGGGGCGGAGCCTTCAAGAACCCACTAAAAAGAAAAAAAAGGAATAAACATGGAAAACCTTTTAACCGACCAGACAGAATGTGCTTGTCAAACGATTTTTCATTCTACACTAACTTCTGAATCTGCGTGAAATCCTATGACATAAATACCAATCAATACTGAGCCTGCAAATGTAGCCATTTCAGTCTCCTCGCCCTACCCCTAAGCCAGACAAAGCTCTTTACCGACCAGGCTGAATGTGCTTGTTAAGTGACTTTTCATTCTAGACAATCTGGGTGAAACCCTATGACACAAACACTCAATTAACAGCCTGCACTGAAAACCCATCTCTCCCCATCCTCGCCAATAAAGACCGCGTTTTGCATTCCTACCCCTAAACCAGACAATGCTTTCCCCACCCTTTGGACCCGGTGTCAGCTAATCAGGATAGAATATCGCAGGGAAATGTTATTGCAACCCTTGAATTTTGTCATGCCTAAATACATAAAATTTTCCCTCTCTCATTAACCCTCAGACTGGATGCGATTTTTACGCTCGCTAGGCATGTTCAACTGAAAATCATGCCCATACCCTCATTCAAAACAAAATGCTATCAAATTTTAGTATCCAAGCCGTTCTCACGAGGAAAACGGGAGTGATCCTGGCAAATTAAGCAGAGACTCTTGGAGAATGCTCCAGTGTTTGTTTTTTCCATGGAGAACATCGTCATATAAGAAGTCAAATAATATTCAAATGAATGGTAGAAATTTTTGAAATAATCCCAGAGACTTCCCGCTGCGTGACGAGACAAAAATGGCTGCGAGGGTAGACTGCGAGCAGTCTCTTATCTTTCTTCGCAAAGTTGCTGCACGCAAAACCTAATCACGCAAGCGGCGAAAAACGAGGCCGTGAGCCCGAGAAATAAGAGACTGCTGAATCTTTTGTTCACGGTCTAGGGACAACGAAGCTGTCAAGGTAACTTAATAAATCAATTAAACCCGAATTACTTGAAATGATTTATAAATAGAACATAAACAACTGAAAATATTACACTTTCTTTAAATCCGGTAAGATTGCCTTCAAATCGTTTCCCTTGAGGAAATTTACAGCAGTTTCCTTCTGTAAGATATCCTTAAAAGTTTTATTACTGAGATTACTGCTTGGCTCGCTATTTTCCGGCAGTTGTTTGTGACGCGTAACTATTTTTATTGCTTGCAATCTCACCACAGAACTAGACGGATTTTAAGAGAAAAGGCGGACTGCAAGCAGTCTACTGAGAGGGAGACTACCAGAGACTTTGACGATAGCACGTTCAGTTTGCATTTTTAAGAAAGACCAATTGATCAAAATTAACTTAATAAACGAAATTTTGACTGGTTGGCGAGGTTGTTGTTGTCACCTCCATGACTTCAATGATTTCACTGTTTTCGAAATATTTGATTTGTTAGATTTGCTCGACCTTCAGTTTAAATTTGCTCCATTGAATAGCACTGGCCTGAAATTTGTTTTGTCACTAACTTAGATATGCTCCTGAAATTATTCCTGAAAATTATTTCGCTCTAGCTTTAAATTTTTCTTTCAGTTGGTGAGAGTCACATGACATGCACTGAACTGCCTATTCAAGTACCTTTGGAATTAGTAACTGCCCTAGAATGAACTCTACATTACGTGTATTTTGGCATATATGTAAGATTCCCATCTCAATCACTGCCCTACTTACATGACGATTGCACAGTAACAAACCAAACCTGCGTCATGTACGTAACAAGAGTCAGCCGGACCATAACATATAGCCTGAGGAAGCAGCAACCATTTCGCGATGCCACCACTAGTTCCTTACGAAATTACGTCGCGCAGAAATACCATACTGATGATGTTGTCAGAGCTAAGGTACTACTTCTGATTGGTCTCGCCGGGAGAGAAATTTGCTTCAAACAATCAGAAGTAAACTTTTCACTAGACTGTTCACAGTTCTCTATTTTTCCGTAAGATCATCGAGATCGAGCGCTTTGTGTTACGGGCTGCCATCAGTTGCATGAGTGTCAAAACTACTTAGGGGGCGGGGACGGTTTGGGAGGAAGCGAGAAAAATGGAGGGACTGTACTCATAGCAGGCTACCAAAACATTTTGGCAATTTAAAACATACCTTATCATAATCGCCAGCCCATACTTTGTAAGCCTCTTGGATTTTCTCTTTGGAAGTAGTATTCCACTTGAGATCAAGGATTTCCTGAGGATAATGGAGTGCATCGCCCTCTTGTGCCATGTCTCCTACAGACACAAAGAAAACAAAATGATTATTTGCAGCACCGTTTAGAAGACCAAGGCACTAAACTAATATATGCTACCATAAACCCTTGAATAAAGCCCCTACCCCAACCACCGGCCATCACTTCGAGAAATATAACCCTCAGTAATGAGGGGAAATCAAAATTAAATTCAGGTTAAAATTTTTTAACCCAGATTGCTTCTCAATTTCCTTTATCTCCTACCCTGAATATTCATGAATTAGGGTTAGGAGACAATAGCCTGCGTAGCAAGCGTTTCCAATCGAATTATTCTGCGAAAGTTAGAGTGGGAGCAAAAAAAAGGTGGAAGGGGAGGGGAAGGGGAGAAAGGGAAAGGGAGTTTCAGGTCAGGCGCGAGAGAAACGCGCCGCGCTCGCTCCACGCTTTTCTCTCCGCAAACCGCCTTTCCTTTCGCTTTCAAACGCCTGTCACACAGGCTACACATATCGTAACAGTTAGAAACTCAAAATGTAACTGTGTTTGGTCCTTTTCTAGGAAGACCCTCTGTGGTTCGATTCTCGTTTAAGCGAAGAAGAAACCATGTTTTGTGACACTTAGAACTTTTTTCACCTCGACTGCCGGTCAAGGTTTTCAAAACACTAAATGGGAATATACTGAGAATAGGACTCCCGGCCATTTATTCAAGGGCACCCAACGAGTGTATAGTTCAAAACCACTCAAACATAGAATAGTTAACCGTATTTTAGTATTTAAACGGTAGATAAAGGCACATTTTTATCCCCTAAAAATTTTTCACCTGTTCGGGTTTCCTAGCCAAACGTCTAGTGATCCGAAAATTATAGGGATCAAAACTTACCTTTTCGAAAATTTCAGCCAGAAAAAGGGCTCCCGAAAATTCTAGGTGACCTTTTTAGGGTAAAAATCCGTTAAAAATGGGCAATTTTACCATTTTTTAGATGTTCGAAAATCCTAGGAGAGGCGGCCAAGCAAGAAATTTTACAACAAATGTTCCGAAAATTCTAGATCTCAAATAGTCTTCCCAACAGATATTTTCCGAAAATTGACGTTGGGTGCTCCTGATTTAGTTTTTTGAAAACCTTGACCGGCAGTCGAGCTGAAAAAAGTGTCACAAAACAAGGTGTTCGTCCTCTGAGCCCAGCGTAAACCAAACGCTAGACTTGAGATCTATAAAGCATTTCAGGATCGCGTGACTTTTCTAAATCGACATATGATAGTTTAGATTAGCTAGAAGTTTTCGGTTTGGTGAAATCTACTCAGAATATAGGACTGCCGGCCATTTAGTGTTTTGAAAACCTTGACCATTTCGGCATATGATAGTTTAGATTAGCTGGAAGTTTTCGGTTTGGTGAAATCTACTGAGTATATTTGACTACCGGCCATATAGCCATAGCGTAAAAACAATGGGAAATTTTAAGGCCGTCTTCCAAAAAGTGGTCGCATTCGCTATTCGATCGAAGCTGCCACTGTAGTGATTTACACATAGAGGTTCCTTCGACTATATTCTTAAAATTTGTCAAATTTCAGCCTCGATTCCTATATCTTATATGTATGTTCTTACAAAATAAGAGGATGTAGTTCAATTAGCCTTTTTTGTTATAACCGAGCCACCTTAAACAGCAGAAAATAGTGAAAAGAAAAGGCATTTACCTGTAGTCAAGTTTGATCCCTGCGAAGTGCTGTTACGAAGTGGTACAGCTTTTGAATGAGGTTAAAACAATCGTTGCACTCTTATAACTCATCTTTTTAAATGCAAGTAATTTTACTGATTGTCAGTAACGACGATTTTTTGGGGATGTTCATTGCTGTAATTTCACTATCACGAGTGATCTGACTTTTGAACCTTCTCCAAACTCTCCCTCTCTCATTGGTTAGTTTACCGGACTAATCAAAGGTGTTGTAAACTGCTTGGGGACGGTAACAGATTCTCTTTTCTCCTTAGTTTTCTTATATTTCATGACTTTTCCCGTGTGCGGATATAATATATACTTGATAGATCATGTTTACATTTCTTTTGCATTTGATTTTGGCATGTGTCTTTTGGCATACAGTATTTCGCATTTGGTTTATGGCATCTGCGTTTTGGCATACAGTGTTAAGCATTTCGTCAGCATTTCTTCGGTAACTTTTTGGCATCTCTATAGTACTCGCGCTTTTAAACTCCTTTAAAACGCGCTTTTGCTAAAAACTTGCGAAAAATTATTTTAATAAACGGCAGTCTAAGCTCGAAGCTGAACGTGCTCTGACCTAGCTAAGTAATTTAAACGCAGTCAAGGTATCCGATTGCCCTTCTGGACCTGAATATTCTAGAAACTTGAAACTTTAGAAACTTGTTTATTCCTAGCCTGCGCGCAGACGAAATTAAACTCTGGTTAACTCCGTCTGCGAAACAGCGCCGAAATCCTTGTTCTGGACTTCCAGCTGTGTACCCAGATTTGAGTACGCGCCACGACTGGCCAGTTAAAAAAAGCCTTTGTTTTGTTTGTCGTGATCGCCAATCAGGTTGAAGGGGAATTCGAAACGCTCTTCCGGTAATTCGTTGAGTCCGTTGGGGGTCCAGAACAAGGATCTCTGCGCTGCTTCGCAGACGGTACTAATTAGAGTTTAGTTGACGTCTGCGGGGAGGCTAGTTTATTCCAGCACAGCATTTCTAGCCTGCGTACCAAGCGTTTCCAGTCGAGTTATAGCAAGAAAGTTTAAGCGGGGGCAAAAAAAATGGAAGGGGGAGGGGAGAAGAGGAAACGCTTGCCCGCAAACCCCACGATTCTGGAAAACGCCCCTTGATATTTCACGGTTCGGTTCATTTGTAAATTGACAGAGCGTCAAGATAGATTTACCAGATTAGCTTCCCACACAGACGTTCTTAGGGGTTCGTCACGCGTTCCTGCCCCCACTCCGCCGGCTAAACGCCACATATTTAGCCGTGAAGGTCTCGTTTAGGGTTGCACTCGAAAAAATATAAAAACATATATTTGATATGTATATTTTTAATTCGTTTTATTTACTCCATTCATATAATCCAAGTTTTCTATAACATCAATACCTAAAGAAGACGTCTTTGTCCATTGTTTTCATTTGTCTGTGTTTTAACATGGTCTCTTTTAGGGATCAAAAAAGCTTGGGTCAGCTCGGTCTCTCTTAGGGGTTTAATTCACATTTCCGACTAGCATCCGTACCACCTTACCCGGCATAGTAAATCGAACCCAATCGAACTAAATTTCAATCGAACTCAATCGAACTCAATCGAACTCAATCGGTGGATTGGGTTCGATTGAGTTCGGCAATCGAACGAAATCGAACTCACCGAAAAGAAAAAAAATCAATCGAACCCAATCGAACGTTCGATTTTCGAACTCGTGATTTATGTAAAACAGACGTTGAAAATCCATTACCAGATCTTAGAAGCTCGAGTTACTTCAGCCCTGAGTGTAGCGCACGTGTTTTTCGTAAACGAAGAAATTCCGCAGAAATGGCTTCAGACGCGTTGTGGATCGTAAGCTTCAAATGTATAGTCAAAGGCAATAAAAGGGGGTGGTAGGCCTACACGACTTTTACCTCATGCCAAAATGCTGCTTATTCCAATAAAGTTGTTTTTATCTGCTGGGTAGATTATGCTCTGGAAGGTTCTGCATTTTACTGAGCAAATGTGGTTTTAGCCACATGTTTCACACTAAGAGGGCATGACATATATATCGATTGACTGTAGTTATTGTTTTCTGGTCGGCAGGATTTGCACTCTGATGCAAGCGCATTTTCTTTGACCTCTTTTGAAGAGTAAAGCTTTTTTATTACGGCTGAATAAGGGTTCCAATTTTCTCCAAAGTGCCTTCTGGATCTGATCTAAGCGATTTTCTTTAGTCCGTGAGTGTAATTTTTTTCTGCAATGCTGTATCACGCTGGGCCCAGCTCGTCAGTTTTCTTTTCACTGAAAGTGTGGTGTTCCCCACGCAGTCATCTCTTTGAAAAGTGCCAGTAATATTAGAATAAGAAATTAAACTACTCATAAGGAAACGAAACCACAGCTACCTTTGTCGCGACTGCTCGTATTCAAACTTATGCTTATGTTAACGTTATAATCACAGAAAAGAGCGCAGCTGGGGCCTACGTTTTGACTCTGAGTACAATCAATGAAAGGAGAGTCATCCTATAATCCCTCGAACGAAATCCATTTAATTGTGTTCGATTGAGTTCGGTTTAATCGAACACAATCAGACGGATTGAGTTCGATTGAGTTCTATTTGTTCGATTGAATTCGATTTGTTCGGAAATCGAACTCACTGAAAGTGTGGTGTTCGATTTCGTTCGATTGCCGAACTCAATCGAACTCAATCCACAGATTGAGTTTGATTGAGTTCGATTGAGTTCGATTTTCGAACGTTCGATTTACTATGCCGGGCACCTTAATATGCGGAGTCCCCCCCGCCCCGGGCTTTCTAGACGAACTCGCAGAATCGTCCGAATAATAATGAATCACAATAGATACTCCTCAGCTGACTCCTCAGCGTCGCTTTAACAATGTCGAGGACCGTTTTTTGGCAGCTAAGGCTCTTTGTCTTATTCGCTTTTCGCAGAACGAAATCCCATCGTCAGTCCAGGGGCACCCATCGAGAACTTAGTTCAAAACCATTTCGACATAGCATTGTTAACCTTATTTTAGCATTTAAACGGCAGATATAGGCATATTTTTTTCCCCAAAAAAATTTTTCATCTGTTCGGATTTTCCTAGCTGAAAGTCTAGTGATCCGAAAATTATAGGGATCAAAACTTACCTTTTCGAAAGTTTCAGCTAGAAAAAAGGCTCCCGAAAATTCTGAGGTAACCTTTTTAGGCTAAAAATCGGTTAAAAATGGGCAATTATACCATTTTTTAGATGTTCGAAAATTCTAGGAGTGGCAGGCAAACAAGAAATTTACAACAAATGTTTCGAAAATTCTAGATCTCAAATCATCTTCCGAACAGATATTTTCCGAAAATTGACGTTGGGTGCCCCTGTCAGTCTGCGATAGCTCTTCCACCTCCTGTAGATCGCATCTTCTCCCTATAAGTAACATTGGGAACAAATTTTGCACAATTCGTCCAATATGACAATGATGCACGCTCAATTATTTCAACGTCCTTTTAACAATTCCAAGTCCATTTCTTGTAGATGATATTCTCAGTGTTCTTTAGAATATTTCCATTTATACAAAACCAATCTTCGGCTAGGCTGGTTACTCTATGATGTGTCGGGAAAAAAATATACGCCTTACTACATATGCGTAAAAGGCGCTTGGAACAAAAGTAATACTAAGAATGGGAGGTAAGAGTAAAGTGTTTAATCTGACTTAAATGAATAAATTAATGAGAGTCTAGTGAGTGAGTGATCATGAGTGCGTGATCGAGTGCCATTCGAGTGCCTCCAAAAGCCCATGGCATATCTACGTCATCCATGAGCTAAAAGGGATTTTCACGAGAAATAATATACTGTGAAACCTCTGTTAAGCGGACACCTTCGGGACCTTCCCAAATGTCCGCTTAATAGAGGGTGTCCGCTTTATGGAGGTTGTAAAAATTGCGCAGTGTTTGTTAACGATCAACATTCAACGGTTACTCTGTACTGTGAAAAAAAGTTGCATGTTGTTGAAGAACCTATCCAGAGTTCAAGTTCATTACCTTTGATTACCAACTTTGATTTGTTTGTAAATGCAAAAACATTAACTAATCGGCTCCTGCTGACTTCAGTAAGTATTTCAAGGAAGTAATCCAATACTACTATTGTCAATTCATTCCGTTGTCCGCTTAATAGAGGTTTTTAACAATAAAAATTAGCCAAATACAACTTTTAGTGTCCGCGTCTGCTTAATAGAGGTGTCCGCTGAATACCGAAAATGATCCCCAACCGCACAGTGATCCTACGAACGCAAATGATCCCCAAAACGGACCGAAAGCCCCAAGGTCGACCGCAAATGATCCCGTTAAAAATTGAAGAATGGAATGGATTTTATGGGTCTGATTACAAAAAAAGACTGATGATAAAAAAGAACCTTTTTCTCTCGCCTTCCAAAGAAAAAGGGAAGAAGGACGCAACATCTCAGGTCAATTCATACAATAAGGCGAAAAAAAAGGAATGAATCTGAAAAGGATATGGTATCAACCGTACTTCTCTTGCCAATTAATTCAAATTTCTTTCAAGAATGTTTCGTCGCTGTGAGACATTTCTTAGTAAAATGCCGTATTATACACATTTTACCCACAATAATGACACCGCCGTTTTGAATAAAATCACTCATCTGCAGAGGTTTTTCCATGTTTAACCAAGTTCCCCAGATTATCCTGATTATTTAGCAAAATTACTGGCAGAAAAGGAATCTTTATCTGAGCTTTGCCACATGTGACTGATAGCGTTCATAATTATGTAATCTTCGGTCAATTTTACTCGTACTTGTGAAATTGTTTTACGTACGAGTGCTAAATTTTTCTATAAGCGATAGAATAAAGTTTTTCAATTTGTTGTTAAGCAAAAAAGACGTAGGAGTGTCAATTAATTCAGCCTTCTGTAATAACAAAAGCTGTGATTTGTCATTTCTTTCATTTTTCTGAGACTTCAAGTAGAAGTCTTTCTTTGAGCTCCGGGATCTCTCGAGACGATCCTTTATTGATATATTTACATGTATTATAATTTTATAAATTTTGTTGTAAAAATAAACATTCATTTATGTTTCATTATTTGCAATTTTAGTTCATCTTCTCTTCTCTTCCGGTTAAAATAACATGTTCTCCCTCCCCCTTTCCCCAGCACTGAACAAAACCATGAAACTGGAGTAGAC